GGTTAGGTTTTAAATTCAATTTACTTAAAAAAAATTGAGTCTCGTATTTGTCCCATTTTGAGAACATTTACAAAACGCTCCATCAATGTGCATGTGTGTGTCAATCAGGCTGGAGACCCTGAAGATTATTTGGGGGGTTTTGGGGGGGGGGGCAGCAGTGACTCAGTGGTATATTTTAGGATTAAAATTGTGTTTTATATCAAACTGGCTCTGTGTTATTTTGTATTTAATGTGAAGTTAACGACATCCTGGTTCATGACTGTATCACTGTGGCGACCAATACTTAACATTAACCTGGGCTTTAATTACAACACAGCAGATTGAAATGGATTTTGGATTGGAATTAACATGGGAAACAATGTGACTGAACCAATCAATAACAGACTGATTGGTGTCTGAAGGTTTTCACCTGTGAATGAATCCAGGTGTCTCTGTGACTGCTCCTCTGATACTGCCTACATATGGCTTCAGTTTCTCTCTGCTGACCGTGCTGTCAGCTGGGTTTTCTGTTCTGTAGATAGTTTTTTTTTTTCTTCCTTTTTTTGGCTGACGGTTGATTTCCACATTTTTGTTTCAACTTTGGTTATTGTACATTTATTTGTTACTTTTTACATCTCACGGTCATCTTGTCTCTCAGTATTGTCACAGCTAAAGATCTGAGCTGTGACAGCAGAGAGCTGCAGATTAGTGCAGAGGCCAGATCGCAGTGATGTCACTGAAAATACAACAGGTTTGAATTTGTAGAAGATAAAGTCAGTGTGACTTTGACCGAGCGAGTCTTCAGTCAAGAGATCAACACTTTGACACTTTGACTTACTCATGTTGCAGATGGTTCCCATCCATCCAGGGAAACATTGACACTGCTCTGCATTTTCACTGCACTCTCCGTTCACACAGTCTTCACAGGTCACGCTGCAGTCGTCTCCAAACCATCCATCCAAACATGCTGACACGGCAAATGACAAATTTGAGTCATTCTTTTTTTTAAGATCAAATATCTTTGAGGTTCCACACACTCTACCTATGTGGAGGTTCTGTTTGAGTTCTCCTCTGTGGTCTCTCTGAGCCTGCAGCTGGTTCTCACCGCCTTCGTCCTCATCGTCCACAACGTCATAGTCATGATTACTGTCAGAACGGGCGTGCAGGGCCGCTGTGTACTGCAGGAGCTGAGGAGCATTACGAAAGAGCAGGTCAGGTAGTCTGTGAACCTCCAGCTGCTCCTCCTCTTCTTCTTCCTCCTCTTCTTCATCTTCATCTTCCAGGTCTCTGCCATAAAGAGCTGAACACATCGAGTGTAACGTCAGACATCGTACTTCAACCAGCAGTCGACTGTAGCACAGTTACTCACAGACGCAGGAGTGCTGGTCCTGGTCCAAACGGAAGCCCAGTCTACAGAAGCACTCGTATGTTCCCATGGTGTTGACACAGTAGTGTTCACAGCCTGATGTTGCTGCCAGGCACTCGTCAATGTCTAGGAGGAAAACGTCACACACAGCCAACATACTGTGCTGCTCAGTTTGACCTCAGAGTTATCAGTGTTTTAAATTAGAGCAGGAACAAAACAATGGCCCCAAGGGGGGAACCCTGTGGAACACCTTTGGTTAACTTTTAGGTGAAAAATAAAAGACACATTTTAGAGGCAGAAGAACTCTTTCATGTTGTGCTCCTAGGACATGGCTGATATATAATAATATCATATATATAATAATAATAGACCATAATGATAGGTGACCATGAACACAACCACTTAATAACATAACAATTACATTGCTAATGGCGAGCCACTTCAGGTGCCAGCTGCAGCTGCGGGCCTTAGGTTTGACACGTGTGCCTTAGATTATCTTTTTGATTTGAGAACTTGACTGTAACAGACATCGTAATCTGGTTTTTTTTTTTCTTGCTGAAAAACCGAACTATCTAAATGTTTCCATCATGACCGACAATCTGGGAACGATCCACCGCTCTCACCATCACAACCACAGCCGTCTGGGTTGAGTCTGTGACCGGCTCTACAGCTGCACTCGTAGCCTCCGGGGTAGTTCCTGCAGGAGTGACTGCAGCAGGAGTGCTCACTCACACACTCGTCTCTATCTGAGGACAGGAAGCAGAGGTGGTTTCAAACCACAAGAGAGGAAGATGTTTAGGAAACAGAGAAAAGACCAATCCATACCAACGCAGGTCTTTCTGTCCTGGTCCAGCTGGAAGCCATGATTACAGGAGCAGTGGGCTCCGTTGGTGGTGTGCTCACAGCGATGAGAACATCCACCGTTGTTCTTCTCACAACTGTTGATGATCTCCATCTCTATGCCTGTAGAACAGAGGAGCCAACACAGAGTGAACGCTGTGGCTTTTTACTGTTTATACAGTTCAGTCATCTGAAGTTGTAAATGTTAGTTTCCACTTCATGTACTCACGGTAGCACCGTTTACCATCTGCACCGAGTTCAAATCCTGGATTACAGACGCAGCTGAAAGAGCCCGGCGTGTTGACACATCCATGAGAACACTTGACACCATGTAAAACACACTCATCTATGTCTGAGGGACATAAAGAACAGCATCACATCAGTGTCTTTGTTTCCATGGATACACATGAAAACAACTACAGAAAAGTATTCAGGGTGAAGACGAGCATTCAACAACTCGTCTCTAACTCTTTAACAAGTCACATGATTCAGCCACTACATCCTCAGTGGTGGAGCCACGGTCAAGGCCAGGGTGTCTCCAACATCAGCAACCCATGACTTGGTATCAGTGGGGGAGGGGTCATGTCCCTTGCACTGCAGTGCTGTGTTCAGGTGTGGAGTTCCTCACCTTCACAGGTCCGTTCATCTGCAGCTAATGTGAAACCACTTCTACAGCTGCACTGAACCAGAGCGTCTTCAGAAAAACACAGCTGGGTGCAGCCCCCATTCCTGTCTTCACAGGGGTTTCTCACTGAGAAAAACACAAACAGGGAAACAGCATCACAGCAGGGTAAACTGACCTCAGGTCAGCACAGCAGGACACTGTGTGAGTCAACTCTAGGAGGTTCAGAAGAACAGGATCTGAGCAGGACATGAACGGTGAAGTGGATCTGAATCCACTCTCCTTCATCATCATCATCATCATCATCATCATCATCATCATCATCATCATCATCATCGCTGGCAGAACGTTCACTCACGTTCACAGTGTCTCCCATCTCTCCTCAGCTGGTAGTTTTTCCCACACTCACACTTGTGTTGATTGTTTCCCATGTCCACACACTTGTGTTCACACCCACCGTTCATTACTGAGCAGGAAGTCACAGCTGGAAATGAGACACAGAAACATGTACTTATTTAGACCTGTGCACCAATGGTAACAACTCCGCAACTCAACAATAATGACAGATGAAGAGGCGTTTCTTGCCACATTTAAATTGTTGGGAAAGAAAAAGACTGGAAGCTAGAGACTCTGGTGTTCAGCTTCAGACACTGTTCTTTCAATCCATTTCTCCTTCGACTTAATGATGTGACAAACATGAAAATATCTGCACTGGGCCTTATGGCTGCTCTAAACATAGACACGATGACACCTACAGGCTGTAAAACATTATAACTTGATGGTTTCAGCAGACACAGCCTTCTCCTTAGCGCCATCTAACTTTCACCACAAATCCACAGCTGTTAAAGTGTAAGCATTAAAGAGAGGATTGTATTAGCCACAGGTTTTATGGTATATTTCTACCATTAGATCATGCCAGTATTTGACTGGAGTTTTCTTTCACAGTAAACAACGGTGCCACCACCAGGGTCAAATATGTCCTCCTTTGTTTTCTTTTTGACACCAGAGCCACATGTTTGTGTTAGTGTTGTGACAAAATTCTAATATTGTATTGTCATAGTTTTTCTAAAGTCAAAGCCTGAAGAAAAGTGAAAAAACACTGCCCTCTCTCGGCATTTTCTACCTTTTTCCTTTTGCCGGTTAATAAAACATAAAACACAGCAGTTTAAAAATGTGTAAAACCTCAAACCTGTTATTTGTGACCAAAATATTTAAATGTCAAAGCCAAAAGTACAAATTATCTATAAAATGTACTCACAGATGCAGGATCGACCGTCAGTGTGCATGTGGAACCCTTCGCTGCACTCACAGTAGTACGAGCCCCGCGTGTTGACACACGTCTGCTGACATCCTCCATTCAGCTCCTCACATTCATTTGTATCTGATCAGATAAATGAAGTTCAGTTAATACTGTAAAAAAGTACATGCAGGCACACAGAGGAAGACGCTGTAATGCAGTAAAAATACGACAGGAACTTCATCATTTCTACCGGGGTCTGTCTTCAACAGTAACATAGATCACATTTAAAACAAAGCAATATTTAAATAATACACAGGTTTACATAGTCACGTATACTGTTAACCTGCAAACAAATAAAAGTTGTCCAACGAAGCAAATCTTTCATGACCACAAGCAGTACTTTTACGAACCCCCTTAGGAGCCGTGAACCTGAAGTATAACAACCTGAGTATAACAATGTATAAAGTAGTAATGACAAATGCCTATTTTCCTGAAATTAATCCATAAAATTCTAGTTAGTGAATAAAATGAAATTAAACGAAAAACCAGCAGTAATGTTAAGTAAAAAACGAGTTTCATTATTGACCAGGTTAACTTTTTATTCACTGTGTAAGTGTAACTAGTTAAACACACAGTAATATGCCAGACAAATGCTCAGAAAATGCTACAAAGAAACTTCAGAACAAAGAAACTACATTTGAAAAATTGCACCAAATATGACGCAGTGTCATCAAAACATGTTTGACAGTGGGACTCCCCCACCCACCGCCCCGCCTCCCTCCGAGGGGAGCCATAAAAGCAACTTTTAGAAAGATGGGGGCCACATAAAAGACATCTAAGTGTCATGATTGGCCCCCAGACCTAAAAAGAAAATGTCACCACAGATCTCGTCAAGAATGTCGTTCATGGAGACAACAGTGTCAGATCAGCGGCCTCACACATCGACCGACCTCGGCTGCAGTGATTTACACTGCTGCGCTCAGAGAGAAGTTATTTAGCTCAGTATTTCATTGAATAAAACCTCTGAACTGTTTACTGAAAAAGTTTTATCTGAAAATGAAAAAAGAAACATATGAAAAAATACAAAAAACACAAAGATTTGTTTATCTAACAAAATATATTTTTAAACCTATTGTTACCACATTGATAAACAGAGTATTTATGACATGAGTTTCAGTCTTTTCTACATGATCTTTGAGGTGAGGACTGTCAGATTGATGGGTGCTGAATATTAGTTTATAATGCAAATGCAGGCTGGTCGGGGGCTTTCACATGGGGGGGGAGGGCGATCTGATGAGGTTCTGGTTTGTTCATAAACCCATTGATAAAGTGTTAAAGAATCCTTCAGCAGCTGAGACCCAGATGTTTTCTTACCCACACATGTGTTGCCATCGCGCTGCAGTCTGCTGCCTTCAGGGCACTTGCAGTAGTAGCTGCCAATGGTGTTGCAACAGCGCCCCTCACAGCCACCGTTGTCCACTTCACATTCATTAACATCTGAAAAGAAATAATTTTTAGGGAAAACAAATTTTTAGACAAAAACAAAAAGACCTGAATGCTGCAGCTGAAACAGTTTCACTAAAGGTTTGATTTTAAAAAACCTAAATGATACTTCAAACCATGAGCCTGATTCTCAAGAGAAATATATTTCAGCACAGCACTCAAAGGTCTACCAGACTTAAAAACACTTATTCAGCAACTCTGTTCCCGGTCTTTGAGGACCAATAGAAGGACGGCTGGAGGTCCGTGGACGGAGCAGGAGAATCCATTATCCAACTGATTTCACAGCTGATACAGGGTCATAGCTTTTGGTAAAAAGAGATGTTGACAGAAAAAAAAACACTGAAGCAGGAAGAACCAACTGTCAGAGGAGAAAGGAAAAACAATCAGTGGTTTGTCCCCAGCTGTGCTCCAGGTCTGAATGACACAGAGTTCATCTAGATTACATGTATAATCTACTGGATTACAGAACTGTAATTTATTCTTTTATAAATTTATTATCTTGTCAGAAACCTTAGGTACCGTTGGTGCTGGTTCTGTTAAACTCCACTGTTGAAAACGTGTTTCTGGTGAATTCTGCTGGACCTCAGAAACTAAGGATGGGTCGCCTTTTTTTTCTTTTTTGTCAGGCCACACCCACACTTGGTTTCTGAGAGCAGGCAGAGTCGAGAAGGTTGTCTTCAGATGAATGGAGTTTGACACACTGGTTGTAAATGTGCATTAATCTAATGTTACACAGCACAAGTGTAAAGAATTCAAGGAGAATTTAAAGGCACATCAGCCTGTCAGGGTTCTACGACACTGCAAAACAAACAAACAAACAAACCCAGTGAAAAAGTTCCGCTCTGTGATATTCATTAACTCGTTGGGTGGTGACCTCCCCCCGACCCCTCCCACATTTGCCCAATGAACAGTCAGTACAGCTTGGCTGTAGTAATGTCAAGAAAAAAAGATTAGAGGGACTGACCCACAATCCTGATGACAACAACATTAACATTCATAGTAGCTTAGCACAGCCTAGCTTATTTGAAATACATAGTGTTGGCTCCTTGTCACTTTGTCACCTTTCTAGAGCCAATCAATGGACGTCACAACATGATGAGTGTCTTATTGAAGTGTGAGCCACATCAGATGATGTCCTCACATCACTGCTGCTCTGGACCTACACCTGGACCTACACCTGGACCTACACTGCCCCCTGGTTCTATTGTCATTCCTCAGGGTTGGTGACAGTTTTCCATCAAGCATTGCAGTAAAACAGACTTCAGGTCCTGCTTCTCTCATCAGGTGTTATAAACAACAGTTCTGTCCTTCTCAGAACAGTACTGACCCTTCCCGGACTCTCCAAGGACCAATTCCCTTCCTCTTTCCATTAAAAGGAAAAAGAATGTGAAGACCAAAAACTAAAACAACAACTGTCCAACTCTGTGTCCATTCCACTGATGGAAAAAACATCAGACCAAAGTGTCCAGATTGATAACTGAATCCACAGGCCTGGAATCAGCTGAATGTGGAGGTTTTTCTTTCTTAGAAAGTTTCTTTAAACGTTAACCACTAACGCAGTGGTTAGGATAACTGATAAGATCAAAAACTACCAACTAGCCCACGATGTCTCTTGGAGTGTCTGTTCTACATGTTGTCATCATCGGCTCCAGCAGCAGCTCACATGTGTATACCACTGGTTTAAATCTGGATAGGATTTTCATCTCTTCATGTTTTTACTGAAACTATGACTGAATTTGTCCCCTAACAACTCAGTCTGTGTTCAGTGAAGCTGACTGGCTGCAGTTCCTCCATCAACCTGCAGCTGAAATCACCTGATCAGGTCAATGATAATTGAATGTCATGTTTGAACCCGGTGCCTCATATTCCCGTGAAGCACGTGTTCGCTCAACATCTGGAAAAGTAACTGCCCTGGTCCAGATCAGTTCTCCAACAAGCCTCATGTTCTAACTGGCATCAGCTGACAGCAGAGGCAGAAATGAAGCAGGACTTATGTCCAACGTGTTCATTTTACAGAGACAGTTTGAGTTTGAGCTGGTGTTTACTCCATGACAGTTGGTTTTATTCAATCCAGTGTCACATGTGTCTTTAGTTACACAGCATCTGTGCCATTTTCATAACAAATTAAAATGATATATATGATACATGATACAATATGATTCAACATCCATCCTTAACCTCAAATATGTCTGAGTGCACACAACTGTCTGAGTCCGTAAGTCCCAGTCATAGCTGTGGTTAGCCTAACATTTCACTTACACTCCTTGTTGCTAACAGGTTGGAGATGGAAATGTTTCTCACCAACCGGTTAGCTATTACCAAGCCATAAACAGATAAAAAAAATAATTTACAACCTCGATAGTTTGGTGCAGTTCTCACTATTTGGCATGTTGTGTTATCAGTGTTATCAAAGGGCTGCCAATACTCTGAGGCTGATTCCAGGTCCAAGCCTCAGAAGGCAGTTGTTGATGTGCAGTGAGAGTCTCAGTGAGCTGTAAGGACACTAGGGTTTGATTAGATGGGGGGGGGGCACATTGCTACTGTAGGAATCTCACAGCCAGTCTTTAAAACACATGGTCACATGGTCAACCACACAGACCAGCAGCTCTGAGCCACTCAGCATTAACTTGGTAAACAATGGTGCTGTGGTAGTGGGGGAGATGAGAGTGTGTGAGAACCTCTCTGCCACATGGCAGCCATTATGGTCCTAATGAGCCTCTTCCTATGGTAGCCATGCTAAGAATGTAGCTCAGCTCTTGACTTTAAATGTGCTATCAGGCCAGCAGGTACGTGATGTGTCACGAATATCTTTAAAACTGTGTGTTGAAGTGTTTCCATTCCAGTGATATATAAATATATTACTCACTGGATTACTCAAGTGCTAACACTAGAGATTTATGGTCTACTACTACTACTACTACTACTACTACTACTACTATTACTACTACTTCACACGCACCATAGTACCAACACAGATGCTTCCTCCAAACCCAACCTAAGTTTGATTATTTTCCAGAACAAAACAGGTTGAGATGCTGAACAGATTGACCTTCCTACAGAGAAGCCTGAGCTGCAATAACAGGTGGTTAAAGCTGAGGTTTGGAACCGACTAGAATGATGAGACACTGCAGTAACAGTGCATCTTGAAGCTTCTAGTTAAATATATCTAGATTCTTTTAGCAGCTCTGATGTTCAGGTTCCCTGCAGGAGTGGTCATTCTGGTGAAATGAATCCTGGGCAGATTTTTACTCAGGCTGAGGACAGAACAACTTTCACAGCAGGGATACTTTAACAGCATTTTCCAAAAGGTTTTCAAGATACAAAGTTTTCTGAGCCGTAAAAAGTCGGCACCGTTCTGCAGTAGCCAGGTTCTGTAGGAGGAAATACAGCGTCAAATATGTGAAGCCCATCTGAACACAACAATGATCAACACTCAATCCCAGACCTGACAGTGGCTGTAAGAGTCCTGACTCAGCAGTTCACTAATCCTCCATAAAATGTCTGCATCCCAGAAAGTCGGAGCCGTGACGTCATGCCTTTGAACTCTAAAATTATATTTTGAGCAATGAGCAAAAACAAAAAAAAACTAATGTCTGCCTCCACCCCTCTTTCTGCAATGATCCTCGTTACGGGTCTGCTGCCCCTTTGATGCTAAATACCAGAATTTCCCAGTAGTCAGTCAGAACTGAAGAAGTCTCTTGGATGAAGAGGTGAAACGTCTTAAAAAAAATCTACTTTGTCCAGTTGACCTCGATGTAACTAGTTTAGAAAACAAACCAATGGTTTGGTAATGTCTACAATACTAACACTGTACTTTATGTGAAGATGTGACTATGTTTCACTGTGAATGTGGCTTCAGAGCAAAGTAAAAGAAAAGTGTCTGAACACAGGAACTTGGCCGACTCCTTCCTTCCATAACGACTCTGGCAGCAAAGTGAGGATAAATCTGTCTCCTGAGATGAGAGAAGGAAAATCACTTCAGAACAGGAGCTGCTCTGAGTTCAACTCTCATTTACTGACCAGAGTGAAGGCTGAGGTGGACTGGATTAGATCTTAGTCCCCAATTTCTCTGTTCTTAATCTGTCTGTTCTTAAACCTCGGGGGGGGGGGGACTATTGCCTCACACAAACAATGACAAGTTCCTGTGAAATGTCTTAGAACTGAACTGTTTACAGCCCAAGGAGGGAAGAGCCTGACTCCTGGGAAGAAGGAAGGAAGGAACTCAAATGAGAAATCCATCCATCACCGTGTGTGTGTGTCTGTGGGGGGGGAGGAGCAGGGGGGGGGGGGGGATTAAGCCCTCCCAGTTCTCCTTTGTAGTTTTCCAAGAACTCACTCCTCATCCTCCTGTTTGTTTGTTTACAGTGTTATCGTAGAAAACAGGAGTTTAAAATTAAAATGGACACACAAGGATAAAGTCAATGTGGTAATGTCGACATGTCAACAATGAAGAATCTTGTTTTTATCTTTCAGTTTCGTAATCATTTAAACACACACCCAGGCTGTATGTTACTCACTACACACACACAAACAAAACTGTTTTTGGCAATGTTCTATTAATAAACTCATTCAGACTCGTCCATGACATGTAATAATCCAGACTCTTGACTTTGACTTTCTCGTCCATATTAGATCACAGCCCCCAGGCCTTTGACTTTAAACAAACCTATCCCAGAAACCCCCACAGAGTTTCCTTGTTCCACCACAGCTACACTTCAAGCTCATTTTGGATTTACAAAGTGAAAGCTGTGCAGTAGGTGTGTTTTTATGCAGTAGGTGTGTGTTAGCAGGGTTACAGCCTAATGAACTTGACCTACTTTATTGTTAAATGTGGCATGTGTAGTGGAGGAGAAGAGACACAGAAACTGACCGTACTGACATCTTGTCCCTTTAAAGCCCGGTGGACACTGACAGATCTGCTCTTCAGTCTCTACACACTCACCTCCGTTGAAACATGTATTGGCTGCACAGACTCCTGCAGACAGAACATAGAGGTTTTATAACAATGCTGCTCATGCTCTGCATGATGTGAAGATATTCTGACACAAATTGTGATGGCGTCAGTACAGTGAGATCTGCTCTGATCCTCTAAACTCCATCACTACTGTGTTTGCGCTACGTCATAAAGATCATTACTGGGATGAGGGAACAAAGGGAACGCACGCACAAAGTAGCTTGAATTTTATTTTATATTGTTCATTGTTGAAATTTATTAAATACATATTTTTATAATTAAGTACTTGATTTATTCATTTCAAATACTGTGACGTACTGTGCTGACAGCCCACTTCTACACCCTTCTGAGTCCATCCTGGACAGCACTTGTAGACAGTGTGCAAGTCCATGCTGTACATTTGTCTGTATGCTGTGTAGTAGGCTGTACTGAGGAAGACAAATAGCAGTCAAATAACATGAACATATTTGTACCTACAAGGCAAACCAACAATCTTCTCCCTGATCCATTCTTTATCCACTTTAAAGAAGTTCATTATAGAAAATTAATTTGGAAGGTTTCATACATTATTTCTGCTTTTACCTCCTCTTGTAGCCCATACACGATCTGTGGTTGTTGCAACCCTGTTTCCAGACCTTGACCATGCGGGTAAAAGCCTGGACACATGGCTGGCGGCGCCCTAACATGGAAACCTCCTGGTCAGCACAAACATTTGGCCTGGCCGTGGGTAGAAGACAAGCATCATGTATAATGACATAACTGTATCAATATGTGTCAATAATGTGTTTTGGGGGTAATGTATGAATTTACACATGTTTCCAGTGCAGGTAAACTGTCACAAATGGTCTTCAATAAACCATCTGGCTTTGATATAGCGCAGCCAGGAGATCATTACAAGAAGTTTCCAGCTTCTCCTGAAATAAAAACTGCTTCCTCGGTCATTTCCTACAACTCTCTGAAGGTCGTAATAAAGTACATGTGCTGTGGAGCTCGGCGGGAGACTGCAGTGCCACAAGAACGCACTATCCAATCATTTTACAAGGACCAGTAAAAGCGACTCCTAGTGGACATTTAGTGTAGGTTACTGCACAGTGATTATAGAGTGTGATTATTGGTTATCTTGATTGAGGAAAGTCGCTATGCTCTTCACAACAGTACCAAACATTTAGAATATATGGAAAGTAAAGCTTTCTCTTTACCTCATTTACATTAAGTAAGAGCGAATAAATGTGCTTTTAAATATCAAAATAAAATATACCCCTTTACTCACATGCCAGGTTGCAGCTCCACAGATGATGCACCGTGTGTGGCGGGGTTTAATAATGTCACCAACCAGAAGAAAACGTGTGAGAACATGATTTTCAGCAGTCGCGGTTGTTGGGAGAGTTTTCTCACTGCAAGTTCCAGTGTTAATCAAATATAGAGTAGATCCAGATCTTCATAGACGGCGTCCTAGTGGCGGCATGTCTGTGTAAGTCTATCTAGATTAAGTAGCACTATATCCAGACGCGTTGACTTTCTTAAAGTCTTTTCCACGGCTCCGGTTGAATGCACCACCCACAATCACCGCGGGGCCAAACTCCCAAACCCCCCTGCGACATCAACCTGTGCACCACCGTGGACGTCCACCACGCACGATCGATGAGTAAATGCAATGTAATCACGCTGTGATTGTATAAGTATATTTCACATAAGGCAAAACAAAAAACGAAAAAAAAAAACGTATAACTTTTATTTCAACAACATAACATTCTAGAATAGTAACAGAAACAGAATTATTTTTGCGATGTTTTTGCGATTAAAATCCTTTTTAAATTTTTTGTTTGTGTTTTGTTGTTGGCCTGTAAAAAAATTACATCAAAAAGGAACTCAAAGTCTGAAGAAAGAGAGACATATAAGAAACAAATACCACTAATGTGTCTTATTTCACATTTATTTTTTCAAATGTTTATAATATTAACCTTTGGTTGTTCTACATTTAATGTTTAGGCAAAACCAAAAGTTTGTTTCCATATGAAAAAATGCAACATCAGAGATCTGGACAGAAGGGAAAACACGAACATTTCCAGTTAATTTTCAATAAATATTGACTTTGGCCCAGACTTCGCTCCAGTTTTTAATTTAATTAATTTAACCCGTGCTCTTTAACAACTCGAACTCTGTCTTTTAATCAGAAATCGTTCGCTTAAAATATGTATATATATATGACATAAATATGTATCTAAGCCGTGGCCCTTGTTGAACACAGAGCTTCCTTCTAACATACGCCACTTCCTGTTTAGTCTAAGGACACGGGAAGTGGAGAGGAAGTTCTGAGTGTGGTAGACGATTGTTGGCAGCTTCAGTATTTTTGATAATATTAGCGCCTATTTTTTCAGTCTGTATATACCTAGATTTAAATAGTATTCTCATTTCGGTGAAATATACCGCGTAAGGCAATATATCTAACCTTGGCCGTAAACCAGCGGTGAGTAACCTAAACAAACGTCCGAGCTTGAACAGTTTATACTCGCGAATGTGTTGTCTGGATGAATGTTATAAATTGTAGCCAGTAAACGAGCAACAAAGCTGTTAAAAGTTTGAATAAAAGAGCAGTAAGAATGCAGTTCTTCAGATTAAACCCATAGTGAAGTGCGATTTAACCAATTGTCGTACTAAATATTATCTATACTGTATAAATAAACACTGAAAAAGCCGTTTGTTGTTCACGTAGCCTCCATTTGGGTTGACATCATGTGAATTTTTCCTGTCCTGCCATAGCTGATGTAGTGGCGGTTTTTATATATACCTAAAAAGACGACATGGCATAACCTCAGGGAACATGAAACCTGTACGAAGGCTCTAGAGCTAGATTAGTTAGAGAGGCAATTAATAGTTCACTAGGTAAGTGCGATTACATGTAAAAGTTAACTAATCGTCAGTCTAAGACTTTTGTAAAAGAAAATATGCTGATTGGAGTTTTAACATTTTAGGAATTTGATTACTCATTAGCTCAACTAATATTAATGGGACAACCACGTCTCTCATCTCTGACTTTAGTCAATTTAGTTATGTGGCAGTTTAATACAGCCATGGTCATCTCTGAAGTTGCTCAACAAGTATTTCCACAGAGCCAAATGAACGGAGCAGCGTTCCCCTCGCCTACAACAGAGATGGCGGAGATGAACCGCATCCATTATGAGCTGGAGTACACAGAGGGGATAAGTCAGAAGATGAGGATCCCTGAGATGCTTAAAGTAGCTCCACAAACGCTGGACAACAACGATGCTGTACCTCCAGACGTTCCTCACAGTGTTTTCATGCACGTCCCTGATAGAATTGTGATCGCAGGTCCGTACAAAGTCCTTTATTATAAACTTTAGACACACTTTTTGCAGCTAGCACCAGATACAGAACAGTGCTTGATGCTACTGTATCACAGTAGTATTCCACTCTCTGTACTGTGTATTGTTCAAACCAGGTCAAGCAGTTTTCCTTCCAACAAATTTGCTCACTCCCACTTCATTTATTTTCTACTAGGTGACAACAATGACCCCCAGTTTACCCGGCCCAGAGATTTGGACCTAATCCAATCCACACCACTCGAAGCCTTTTCTCTGAAAACACCACCTAGAGTCCTTACCCTCAACGAGCGACCTCTGGACTTCATGGAAGAGGCACAACACGTGGCTCCAGACACTGAGGATCAGGTAAACCAGTTATTAATAATGACAAAACTATGTATGAATCCATTGATCCTAATATTGTCTTTAGGGAAAACGGTTATAAAAATGAATGTGTCATTCCTTGTCATTGTTGTAGTTGCGGCCTCAGGGCAGAGCACGAAGAGAACGGTCTGCTAGTGAGAATGCAGCTGTTCGTCACAAGAGTCAGCTGATGAGAAATGATTCAGTGTGAGTATTATGATGGATTTAACCTCTACTGTGCTGCTAGCTTCCTCCAGTCTTCATAGTGCATGCTAGCACTAGCATGTCGTGTCTTTCTTTCACTTCTGTCTCTTTTCCTTCTTTACAAAAGCTCTCTGTGTGTTGTTACTGACAACTTGTGTTGGTTTGGTTATAACACATTGCCGCCATCGTAGTATAAAAGCATTATCAGTGTTGGTGAAATATGTTGTGTTTCTCTGGTGTGAACTCTGGAGTTCACACCAGACCCAACTCCACTCCAAATACAACAGAAAAAACTTGACAATCTGGAATTTTTAGCCAGTTCAAATCTGCTTTTTTAAATTGTGTTGTACATAATGACAGTAGAGCAGAGTAAATGTTGGGAAGATTACATTTGAGTTCATTATTCATTAAATGACTTTTCATTTGGATTCATATAAAGTTCGTTGAGATGCAGAGACTTTCCTCATTTCTCTCCCTGTCCCCCCCTTTTCCTTCTCCCTCTCTTGCTCTACTCTCCCTTTCCCTCCCTTCACTCTGAATTGGCTGCTCTTACTGGTGGGCACTGACCAGTGTGACCCCATCCTCCCCTCCCAATGCCCCTTGCCCTATTGTCACCATGACTGAGGAAGACCACAGCCTGTACAGCGCGAACAGTGTGTTGTCTTTCATCCAGTCCACCACACGACGGGCCTACCAGCAGGTCCTGGAGGTCCTGGATGAAAACCCTCGCAGGTGACCTCTCAAGTCACTCCGCCATTTTTATTTTTTGCTTTAAAAATTGGGAGAGCGCAAACTTTCACAGTGAAATGGAAGTAGCCTGTGTTCAGGAGTGTGAGGTTTCATTTGTGACTTTGGAGAAGACTTAAAGATTAGTGAAACTAACCTTCAGTAACAACATTAACACAGTCGTGTATGACTCAACACAGCAGAGCCATGGTTTCCCTGATTCATTTATTTGCTTTTTAAATATAAAGTAGGATTTAGGCGTTTGACTAAGTGCTAATGTTTTTAATTTGACGTCCTATTGAAGTTCCTTACATTTCCATTTAAAAAAACAAATGAACAGGTTCAGATGTTTCTGTGTTACAGCTCTAATGTTGTCAATGTGAGATTATTAAACAAACAGCGGTATGTAAACAATAACTGTATTTTCTAAGCCCAAGGCTAAAGGAAACAAGAAGTGGGCTACATTTATTGGCCACTCAGTGCTGTTTGCTGGTATGACGCAGGACGAAGATCCAATCATGGTAAACGTAGGTCTGGTAATAGAACAAACAGAGGCCTGGAGTGTCTGAGCTAATTCTACCTAATTAACTTAAATAAACACACTGTAAAGCGTATCCAATGACTGTTTGAGAACACAACATGACAAATTTGAAGCGTTACCTGCAGACATGTCCTGAGATTCACTCAGAGCTATGAAAGCTATGAAACACTATTTTTCATGGCTTTTGTCAGCTATGAAAGCTATGAAACACTATTTTCCATGGCTTTTGTCAACAGTTTAACACTAACTGTGTGTCTGCGTATGTTAATGAACAATAATATTACGAATAACTATATTACTGATGAACTTCGCAGAAGATAATAATACACCAATAATGATGTTTGGTATTAGAATGTTAATTCCATTTCATCCATTAAAACTGAAATTAAACAGTTCTTCAGACTGATTTGGGTCTAATATTAATTGTAAGTCTAATTCAGACTGTGATAATTAACAGTGGTCAGGGTAAGACTTATTCAGACAACTGTTAACATAATCAATATTTTAAAATTACAAAGCGGCAGCAAAATTTAAGAAACTGTTCAAAGGCTTATAAATGTACAACAAAGACAAAGTTCACATACATGACACTGTCCCTCTGAGGTCTGAGGTCAATTCTCTTTCTCTTGTTCTTATCTTTTCTTATGGATATAGCAAACCGTCTCTAAGAGGGGGTTCAGCCACGAGCTCCAACCCCCAACATGACTCCAGGTAACTTTAACCTGGCACCTGTTCTTCCTTTTTCCATTTTCCACATTCTTCTCTACCTTCAACTGAACTGATTTCCAGTGAGAAAATATGAGAGAATGTTCTCATGTAGCATTTCTGTCATTTCTTATGTATCCGTTGTCATTATTCAAGGCTGGCTTTGTCAACGTATGAAGCTTCACTGGATGGAGCTCCGGATGATATGACAGTGGTTGATGCAGCAACGCTTCGACGTCAGGTTTGTTACCAATATATACAGTATATATATATATATATATATATATATTTATATATATATATGGGTACATATGTACCCATATATATATACTTAATCATTTATTTCTGCAAATGTGTCAGTTAGACACAAACACAGATGCATCGTAAAGTCTTTTCATGGTTGCATGGGATCAAGTGTGTGTTTAGAGCAGGGAGAAAAAGTCGCCTTACATTTCTGAGGTGCTGAGGAGGTAAAAAATACATTCATAGCTGTTGATGTACATGTATGGTTGTAATCAGAAACGCAGCGATCAGATGCTAGGTACACATGTGAATACCAGGTGTGAATGAAGCGCTGCTCGTGAGCTAGTAGAAGAACGTGAGTGACTGAAATGTTTTAATCCGATTTATCCACAGCTCATTAAGTTGAACAGAAGACTTCACCATCTGGAGGAGGAGAACAAGGAGCGAGCAAAGCGAGAGATGATCCTTTACTCAGTTACTGTAGCTTTCTGGCTCATCAACACTTGGGTGTGGATGCGACGTTAAACTCAGTCTTTTTTTTTTGTTTCACTGCTTGCTGCACTATGTACCTGTGTGAGAAAAACCTTAACATGGGTAGAAGGTCATCTGGAAGCAAAGATCTGATTTTTTTTTTTTAATTTAATACATATATAGTTTTTATAGTTTTTTTACTCTTCTGTCATGTTAATCATGTTTTCGGTTTTTTAAGTAGTCATCTTCTCGGGCTTCTTGTCTGGATCTTTTTTGTGCATTGCAGAGCATGACTCTAACTATGGGCTCACATTACTGTTAAAGTGTTTTGAGCTGCAGTAAAAGCAAAGTTTATCGTAGGCAAGTGGCGCTGCAGAGGGAAGATGGAACATGTTAAATATTTAATGCGAGTGATATATGTGTTCAGCTGGGAAATGTATTACAACCAAATAAAGCCATGTACATGACTATGATATTATCTGAGCTGTTTTTTTACTTTGTCTGAAAGTTAAGGTCGTTATATATATTGTGAAAAATAAAGTCTTTATATATATATATATATATATATATATATATATATATTTGGGATAAATGCGTTAAGGCAAGATTCATTTTATTATGCATTAAATAAAATAAAAACTCTTTTCAGAATTAAATGTGCCTTTTTCCAATTTTGCATATGATAAAAAATGATGCAATATATTGTTTTTTTCTTAACAAAATTAATCCTCACTATAATCTGGTCAGTTATATTAGTGTTGATTTTATTTGAAGGTAAAAGCTTTTATGTTTTCACATTCACAGTTGAGCTTTAACCAATGTCCACACATGAGAACGTGGATCATCATCTCAGAAGATCAGAATCAAAACACAACCACCAAAGTAGAAACAAAGTGTTTTCTCTTCACAAATAACATTGAAAACATTCCAGTTTGACTGTGTTTCCCATTTGAACACAATGATTTTGAAATGTTAATTTTACTCTCCCATTGGTTCGAATACCAGTGACTCAAAACTATCATCATCCTCAGGGTACAGCAGAGATAGAGAGCTGTCATCAGTGAATAACAAACCTGGTGATTGGTTGCTGTCGGTGTCTAACTGCAAGTGGTAGCCATAATGTTGCATGACTGCCTGCAACAACAGGGGGTCTGGTTGTCTGTCTGGACTTGGTGTTGGGATCATCTCACAGTTTCCTGTAGCGTCCTGTTGATTACTGCAGCTCCCTGAAGTCACTTGGTCGGTTGGTGGGAACACCTGCTCCGCAGAGACCAATGATGTGAAGTCTCCTGTGTCCAGATCAGGCAGCTCATTGACATGCAGTAAGAAGGGAAGGTTCATGTTTTCCATCTGCTCTACATCTACCAGATCTGTAACCGATGGTCCTGCACCATATGTTGGTGCTGCTTCATCTGCCTCTACTGAGGGAAGCTGTTTATTCTCACCCTGCTGACTAGTGTTCACCTGCACTGTCTCATTTCTGAGGAACTGGTAAACATCTTGCTGTTTGTCATCTTCTCTCTTCTTCTCTGTGTTGACAGGAAGTCGCTCCTGTGGTGACCGCTTTGAAATCACTTCTTCATCACCTTCCTGTAATTGCTCTGTGGCTGACACCTGACTTGACTCCTTCATGTTCTTGACAGCGCCATCATGAGGTGAGGTGCATGTGGATGTTTCTTGACTCGATGAAGACTCTCCACGTTGACAGTTCTGGTCACTTTCACCGTGTAGCTCCCGTAAACGCCGTCTCTCCTGAGCTTTCTTTTTAATCATTGCAATCGCATCCAAGCTGTCCTGAATCCTCTTCATTTCTCGTTCTTCCCATTGCTGCCTCATCCTGAACTCCCCCTCCAGTCCCCCCACTGCCCAGGCCTCAGCACATGCCCTTTCTTTAGGAAATACAGGGACATTGTCCAGACAGGTGAGCTGCTTCAGGTGTGCAGTTAAGGTCTTCCTGTAGTTGGGTATTTTTTTCACAACACAATTTCCAAATAAATTTAACACCCGGAGTTCTGGCATCGACTCCAGTATGGGTAGGATTGCAGGGTCATTTAGTTTATTGTGAGACAAATCCAGCACATTGATGGCACTGCACTGACTGAGATGCTGAATGTCCTCCACCGATTTGAGCTTATTATGGGTAATCTCCAGAGTGGACAAGTTGGGTAGGCAGGATATGTTTTCTATTCTTTGGATGCAGTTGTTTGAGACGTTCAAAGTACAAAGTTCCTGCATGTGATCAAGGTTTTCCAACTTCTCTATGTAGTTCTGTTGCAGGAAGAGGCAGCGCATATCCATCTGGGCGTTCAGGTTCTCAATGCGACTCAGCACGTTGCACTGCAGCCAGAGACATCTTAATCCTGTGTAATCCTCCAAATTCTCAATAGTGGTGAAGCCTTTGTAGTGTAGGTACAGTGTGTCATTCAGGTGAGGCGTGCCATAAAGTTTGTGCTCCCTACAGTGGTCTTTAAGGAATTTCTTAGTAATCCGTGGCCCTGAGTCCCTTTCTGAACCCGGTCCTAGTAAACTTTGAGTTATACTATTACTAGTTGTCCTGCGATCCATGTTTTCTAATGGTTCTAGAGGGTGGAATTCAATATCAAGAGGAATATATTCCAGGATTAAAGGGGTTCCTTTCCCCTTTTGTTTACCTTTTAAGGAATCTGGTAACTGAAATATCTAATTTCTCCATACACTTCAAAGGATTAAAGACGAACGAGTCTTTGTTGTGAACAATAACACAGGCACGATGACAAAACGCTGTCAGCAGTTGGTTTAGGTTTTGTCGGCATAGCGACCAGTGGTCCGTTCAAAGTGCTAAAGCTGGCCGGAAGTATAGACCGGATGTAGTTTCACGTCGGACAGTTTTTGCTGGTGCAACGTTCTCGCAGTGAACAGACATGGCGTCTGGTTACCTTCTAAATCGTGGTGCGCTAACATTGAGAAATAATTTGCAGCGCGTTTGCAAAAATGTGGTATATTTACAGATTCGAGAGAAAAAAAGATGGATGAGGGCATACACACATTTAATGGCCAGAAAATTAAAGATTGAGGGACCGCCGCCACCGCAGCCACGGTAAGGTGACGTTAGCTGAACCGTGTGACCACTTGGAGAGCATTTCAAGGCCGTTTTTATACCATGTAATAGGATGTGCATCGTCTCTAAACGATAACGTACTGTGGACAATTCTCAATACAGTTACTTATTCTTATTTCACTAACGTTATATCCTAACACATGATAACTTCAGGATTGGTAAAATATAAATATGATCGTAGTGTAAAAGGTATATTTTTTTTATGGAAAAGCACTTTCTTTTTCATTTTCTTTTTCGGTAATAACAAAATGTGCCTTTTACCAATACAAGATTTGTATGAAAAACAGTTGTGATTATGATTCTGTTACATCATGATTGTTTAAACCTTATAGAAAACTTTTTAAAATCCACTTTTGCCTTTTTTTCAGCTCTCAAAAGCTCCTGTGGGATTACCACGCTGAGGTGCAGGCTTTCAGCAACCGCCTGCATGAGAACTTCCCAGTGGAGATACTCAAAAGAGCCTTCATCAACCCATGTTACATTCATTCAGAGCAGGAGAGGCGAGAAAAATTAGGCATGGACTCTGAGACTACAGCTTTAGTTTTGAAAGATAATATTCAGCTGAGTGAAAAAGGAGCAGATTTCACCAAAAGCTTTCTGACTGACTGGTGCAGGGTAAACTTCCCAAATCTGCCCAGTGAGGGGGTGGAGAGCATTGTAGTGCACCTTAACAGTTTGGAGGTTGTGACCTATGTAGCAAGAAATCTGGGCATTGAAGACCTCACTATGAGTGCAGACTTTCCAGTTCCTGATGCTGTCATGTATTCTACATTCATGGCAGTGATTGGAGTTTTACAGGAGAGTAGTGGTTCAGAGCGGGCAGGATTCTTTCTCAGGGTTGGTGTCTCCGTGTGTTGTGATAAACATCTGATTCCAACTTTAAATGGTCTCTCAAACATTCTCATCTCAATCTCCTGTAGGATTTCCTAGCCACTCAGCTGATAGGAAAGGACCTGTTTGACATGTGGACAGTGGTCAATCCAATGGGACTACTGGTGGAGGAGCTTACTAACAGGAACGTCCCTCTGCCAGAACCTCGCCTCATCAGGTCTGCTGGTGCCAGTACTGCTCTGCCACTGTTCTTTGTCGGCCTGTACAGGTATTTGTGCGCCACAGACCAAGATGCATTCATTTAATCTTGAGTTTGAGTGAAATTCAAATAAAAGTATTGACCCCCCCCCTTTTGGCGCCCCCAGACCAAGATTCATTCATTTAAACTTGATGTGGGGTGAAAACCAAAAAAAAATTTTCTCCCCCCCCCCCCCCCCTGTGTTCAGTGATAAGAAACTTCTAGGACAGGGCCCAGGGGAAACAGTGTTAGCAGCTGAGGAAGAAGCAGCTCGTGTGACTCTTCGGAAACTGTATGGCTACAGTGAAAATCGCAGGCCATTTGATTTCTCTCCAGCTCAGCACCTTCAGCCACCATTAATTCAGTCAATGGGTTCCAACTGATGAATAATAAACTGCTGTACACATATGCCACAAAATAAAGAAAACACCTGAGTAGAGATGGCTGATTCCCTTTACGTCCACTTCAATTTCTTCATTTGTAACAGCACAGAGGTTGAGCAGTCATTACAAAAAAGCATTGAAATCCATTTTGCTTTGTAAATAACCACATATCTACTTTGTAAACTTGTTTCATTAAAATGTCCTGTGTATATATTATACTGGTCATGTATGTTTTTTTGACTTGAAAGTCTTGAGTCTGGATGTTTCAGTGCATCCAGTACTGGAACTCTAAGGCTGAAAGAAAGAAAGAAGATGAGAATCTTAAAAACAAATTGACAGGAGTTTAACATACACATACAGTCTGTTATTGAAGAAAAAGGCCACGACATCAACCATTTATTTAGGAATGAATGTTAGCATTAAAATCTGAGTTGATACAAATTACTGATACTGAGTTAATGGTTAGTGTTATCTACATTAAAAATCACAAAGTTTGCTAATGATTAATTATAATGATAATAATGTCTTTTGATTTATTGATATCCATGTGGAATTGTCAGTATAATATATGGATGTTAAAATGCATGGAAAGTCCTGTAGTTGTTTACTGAGAACTCATTTAATACACTGTTATTCAACACGGCCTTCCATAAAGAAAATAATTAGATAATGAAAACGGGTTAAATAATACATTTAAAAAACACATTGATAAAATCATAGTAATAATAATTTTGAAGTGCATTACTGCGAACAGGCAAGGCCCGTCAAATATTTTCGTCCAAATATTCCACGGTGGACTTTTGAGAAAGTGGAAGTTGGGTGCAATGACAGTAATACGGCAGGGAGTGGCGCTAGAGTGTTGTGAGACACAAGATTAGCGCCATCAAAGCAGTCTTGCGTTTAAGACAAGATAGTTCCCGCATCGAGCCTGTTACATGTATCGAAAAGAATATAATCTATGTTTAAGGAAATATCAACAATCAATCATCAACATGTAGTGTAAATTTACGCCGCATTTTATCTTTTAGAGGAAATGTGTTATTGGCACGTTAGTGTGTGCTTAATTTGGCTCTGACTAAGAAACAGAAAAGTGAATAACGATGTTTGAGTGAAACCGGAAGTACGGGCGTTCAGTTCTAGTTCCGTTAGAAAACGTGATCCGACGCCTCCTACTCCTTGTTCTTGGAGAAGCTAGGCCGCTCTGACAACAGAGCAGATCTGCCCCATTCCCTTTCCCACAGCATACAGGTCAGCAACCGCAGATAAAACACTGTTCGTTGTTTTACTCATAGGTTATCTTCTGCCCCCTCAACTAAATTAAAATCCACAAAACGGTCCTATATTCTTCACCATGGCGGCAAGTGCGAAACGGAAACAAGAGGAGAAACACCTGAAGATGCTGCGAGAAATGACGAGTTTACCTCCCAACAGAAAGTGCTTTGACTGCGACCAGCGCGGCCCAACCTATGCCAACATGACCGTGGGTTCCTTCGTCTGCACCTCTTGCTCTGGCATCCTGTAAGTGTTGACCTGACAGTGTTACCCTACTTTAGACCTGGCGCTGTAGCATGTCTCTCTTACGTTGTGAAGATTGAGCCGAGCTTGTCGGCTAACCGGCGCTAGCCCACATGAGATATTTGCACCAGTGTCAGTTTATCTGCTTTAACGTTGTGTTGACATGTGTCAAATTCAGTTGGGCGTGGAGCATTTTACTAAAGCTCGGCCAGCAATCCTACACACACACACACACACACACACTCTGTAGTGTTCGCTAACTCCAGCTTCTGCTCCACTGTGGAGTCATCTGTCATTTGTGTGCTCGGTCTGGTGAATTAGCCTGTAGCTGTTACTTTTTGGCGACCTTGTTCAGTAGCATGTTGTACTGTTCAGAAATTAGCAACGTACATTAGTAGAGTTCCACCTTGTGGTTAAAACTCTCATAAGAACATATGCTAGCTTTTCGTTATCACAAGCAGAGGTGTCCAGCTTCTTCTTCGTGGACCTTTGTTAAACCATTCCAGGTGAACGTGGCGGTGTTTTCAGAGAACAATAAAGTAATTATTGTTCAAAAAACGACTTAAACAAGCAAAATAAATTGAACTAAAACATACACAGTATAGCTTTAACCGCTCAACATTGTTTTTGGTACATCGTCCTAGGCCCCTGAAGGCTCTCTAACACAAGGGATTAGCTGCGGATCAGCAGGTAGTGCAGTTGTCTTTCGCCTGGAGGGTTGTGGGATCGATTCCAGAATTTATCTACCCGGTAGCATTGCATATAGACGATAACACCTGCAACATATAGACAGTACTGTGGATAATAATACCTATACAAGTACAAAAAAAACCATTCCGTAAAATATCAGGGACCCATTAATGAAAGTAATCATTAAGTATCAGTATCTCTGGTATGCAGTACCTTTGACAAGAAGAATGTGTTATCTGTCAGGTTTTCCTATATTCCCATGGGTGATTGTTGAAGTGAAATATAAGTGACAATAGATAGTACATAGTTTTTTTTTATTTCAATGTGTAACCTGTTACATTTCTATCATTTCATGTATTATCTGTATTTGTGATCCAGTCCACTTTGTACAGTATCAACCCCAAAGATCATCTTGATATGTGATCATTATTCATTCATCCACAACTTTATTGTGTAAGAGGTTGTAGAGGAAGCTGAAACAAATCCCTGACCATAGTTGAATGGAGCATCTACTGTATGGCACTGGTGTAATCGTCCTGAAGAAACTCATCCTCCTCTGCTCATTCTTATATTTAGTCAGGGCCTAAATGGGGAATGTCTCTGTTACTCTCTCTCATCTGAAGAATGTTATACACTAAACTAATTATTTACTAAGCTGTAACCCGAAGGTAACATGGTCTAATTAGTCAAAATAAAAGAGATGTTTAAAAAAAAAAAACAACAACCATGAATTAGGTGTGTTTAGTTTAATGAGTTTCGGTAAATTAAATATGCGGGAATTTAATTTTGTTAAGTTGTGACTGTGTCCACTCTGAATTTAGTACAGAGAAAGAATAGAATTAATTGTGTGGTTGCTGATGGGCAGAACTGCCCTGCACTTCACTTCTCTACTTGGTCTGTGTAGATTTCCCATCTGCTCACCCTGTGCTGGGGAAGGCTGTGATGCCAGTTAATTGACTTCTTTTACAACTTGAGATTAAAATTCATCTCTTGTTCATTGATGTTGTGATGTTCTCCCACAAACATGGGTCATAAAAGAAAGTCACTGCGAGCAGACATGTGCATGTGTGATGTTTGTGAGGTATACTGTATGTAGGAAGCCCAGTGCATATAGGCTCAGGAAGTGGTGTGGCTTCAATATGCTGCTACATCATCAGCATGTGATTCTCAATGTGCAACGGGAAGTGACAGATCAGTCGGTCTCTGCCTCTCACTTTCCTTGTTTTCTTCAGGCAGAAACGTTGGGTTTAAGGACATAGTTAATGTATTGTCTAGATATGTTTAATTCCAACAATATGCTGCATGTTTCAACTGGTTTAGGTTTCATGGAGGTTCAAAGTCTAGAATAGTTTTTAAGAAATTGTAAAGTTTTCTACAAGTCACTGTTTGATCTTGGGATGGACTATCCCAATGCATAATTTAATACCAACAGATGGCTGGATTTAGAGAACTTTATTAATCCCTCGTGAGGCCTACAAGGTTTAGGGCCGTTATATCATGAGAATATTTATTTGATACTTGAAATATAAAGTTAAATCTTTTTATCGTATTGAATACAGTGCTGAAATCTTTAACTAGCTAATCCTCGTATCCCTAGTACAACTTTGTATTTATTGTTGACTGTTATTAAATGTATTTAGACAGAAGCCATAGTCAGGATCATCACTTATGAAGTGGGTGAAGTTTGGTGGTGGTCAGTAAAGACTACACACAGTCACTCTTACTGTGTTGGAATCTGCTGTGTAAACACATTCCTGATGAAGGTGGAGGCCTTCCCAGGAGGTACACCACTCACAATGTGTTCCTGGAGAACCACACATGGCAGGAAGTAACCCCATTTGGCCAATCTGTCGCTGCACTAGTGTCAGTCCTTCACACAAAAAGCTCAAAGTGAAATGACTCTAATCCTGCATTTTATGGGATTGATAGTGTAAACCAGAGGAAACCAAGTCCTTACAGAAAGACCAGGCTCAAAACAACAGACCAGGCACACTTGACAACCACCTCTGTCCCTGTGTATGTTTTACTGTAAGTAGTAATAACAGCATTTATGTAACATCTGCCGTTAAATGTTAATTTATTAAAAGGTTGACACAGATGTTGTTTTTTCCTTCACAATTCATACACATTATGAATTATTACCTATTTATTTTACATTCTTCATTTTTATATTTAGGCAGAACCAAGTCAGACTATTTCCATCTGTCGTTATAAACTGGAGGATTGTAAAAACACATATTTATTTTCATGTCCAGCTAAATGCAAATGATTCTGTTGTCACTGTGATTAGTGTTAGAATAAAGTAAAGACAGTAAATCTATCCTGAGAAGGTGTTGCTTTTCGTCCATGTTCTTGAATCTAGTCAAGGTCTCTGGTCCACTACAATTCCACAATGTGTTGCTGATTTGAATTGAAGTCCTGGGTTGATTATTCTTCAAATTCAACCATTGAGGACAACTTTATGAGCTGGATTTTCATTTTTATTATATTATGTTTATTTTTAATGAGATGAAACAGCAACAGCAGATAAATAACTGAATCATTGACTTCCCACATGTCCTTGTGTTTGGTGGATATTGCATAGTCAACTAGGAAATGAGTGATGGTCCAAATAAGTTTTGATGACTGCGGTGAATAATTTAGCAGTGTTGTCTAGTATTTCTTCTGAACCCCCATGTTTACACCACTATGTTTATAATAGGCACAGTGGTTTAAATATCTTTGTCACGTCTATCCTAATAAAATTGGCAGATACAATTTTTTTTTAATTGCAACATGAAAACTGAAATATATACATCTGTATTTACAGCACATTTCTGTTTGTAGAATTGGACACCAGAAGAGTTTATTTATAGTGTTTCTGTAACTCAAAACATCAAAACTAACCTGCGACGTTCTTGACACAAGGCCGTCTCCTTAACTGCCAGGCCACCACTGCCCAACGGACGGTGTTTGTGCTCTAGATTGACTAGCCTTGAACTGCTCCTTATGAGGTTGGTGGTGTTACCTCCAGCTGTTGTAACTAACACTCTGCCAGTCCTGCACAGTCTGTAACTGAGTCCTTTGGCTACCTAGCCTGCAGGAACGTTAGCGGAGCTGGGCGTCATCTGAGTGGCTATACATGTGCATGGATGGCCCATGTGTCCAGGGCTGCATGTGATTGGCCAAATGTCAACATGAGTGTGAAAGCATGGCGCATGTAAACAAAACATGTGATTTCAGACCAGCTTTTTCAAGGTTTTCACTACTTGATTTTTGTTGCCAGTGCTACAGAAATGTGGCACATGCACAGTAATATAGCCTGGTTCTCTACCCTACATGACAAATGTCCTGTGGGTCAAATTGCTGGGCAGTACTGGGTTTATAATGAATTTATATCTAAGGTGATTATAGCATCAGGAATAAGTCAGCATTCGTCTGGTCAGTACAGTTTCCAGATGAGTACAATCCCGATTTTAAATCAATCCCTTTCTACACCTCTGTGTTTTCAGACGAGGACTGAATCCACCCCACAGAGTCAAGTCCATCTCCATGACTACTTTTACACAACAGGAAATCGACTTCCTACAGAAACATGGGAATGAGGTAAACATCACACTTATCTTCCACATTAGAAAGGTTTTTTTTTGTATTATAGTTTTCTGCCTTTGATTGTCCACTTGATTTTATTGTATAAATGTAGATAAACCATCAAACAAATAGAGCTTGGTTGTATAGATGACAACAGGTGTAGATTTGTGAATTTAGTCGGAGCTTACTTCCTTACAGCTACATAAACGGGGGACAGTGTTAAGACCACCACCACTGTGTTACTCTTCCATGGCTAATAATTTGCAATCCTAATAATAATAATAAACACACTGTTAATAATGAGAAACAAGTAGATCATCAGCGTAATGAGGTTACTACATTTAGTTTTTCAAGTTATATCATGTAGCATTAAACAGTGCATCAGACAGATGATTGCTATTCTATGATTGCTGGTGTTGTTTTGCACAAAGGAACCATTGTGGGACTTTCTGTATCCATTTCGGCTAAATCAATAATAAAATGGAACAAAGCCTCAGGGAATCACAGAATATTTAGGGCTGTTCCAAAGTGGCTGTATAGATGGTGATGTGGACAAAACCAAGGTAAGAACAGATGGTTTTGGCCTTTCTAACTGTGAGAAATCTATTATGTCTCACAACATAGAATATCACACTATGGCCTTTGTTAAACCAAACCTAATGATCAAATTAAAGACAAAACAATAGAAACTCTAATGACGTTCTTTTCAATTAGGGGTGCACTGACCCTTGGTGGTACATGATTGCATTTTAGGATATATATTGTTTTTTAAATATATGTTTTTATTTAGGTCCAAATGTTTGTGTAAAGGAAAGTTGTCAACAGAAGTGAAGATTTCAATTATAACATTGAATTGCAATTAATTTAATTTAAGATAACAACAGCTAAGTTTGTATGTGTTAATATTAGACTTTTATCTTGTATTTAAATAAAAAATCCCAAATAAAATTTTTTTCTAATGTAGTGTCCAGTGTAGGGCACTCTTCGTATTCACTGTCTGGAGAATATTGGCCTACAATGAACTCACAATACAAATCTATCACAAATAATATATAAAATATATATTGAAACCAATTGATCTCCAGTCCAACTGTGACCCAATCCACTGATCCTTTCTCTATCAGAACTGTGTCAAATCCCATCACCAACTGACATGGTCTGTGAACCTCACCAACTGACATTGTTCTCATCAATAACAGGAAAGAAAAAAAGTCCCATTTCTGTCCAAAAACACTGGAACATCTCCATTGATCTACTCTAATTAAACTGGTCAAACTGGTTAACTGTCAATATATGAAACAACAACAGAAGAAGAGACAGGAACTCTGGAGAACACTGTTGGTGTCTGTGGAACAAGTTCTTCCCATGTTCTGTTCTAACCCCTGAACATCTCTTAGCCTACGTAGGACCTGATGTCTGGGTTTAATAGTGGGTCACAACCAACGTTTTTAGGAGCATACTGCCACATACTGTATTAAGTGTATGATGTATGACCAGTGTCTTTTGAGATAATGCAGCCTATTCTTTACACCTTGATGTGCGAGTCATTTTTTATTTCACCCAATCTGAATTATCACACATTTGTATTGATTTGTAACCAGTTCACATGCAGTGAAAAACCTAACTGAAGAAGCCACCTAGCAGCTCTCTGTGTTTTGGAAAAAATGTTGCATTAGGTCACGTGATGGTATCATCTGTGTTTCAGGTTTGTAAACAGATTTGGCTCGGCCTTTACGATGACAGAACCTCTTCAGTACCAGACTTCAGAGAGCCACAGAAAGTCAAGGAGTTTCTTCAAGAGAAATACGAGAAAAAGCGCTGGTGAGTTGGTTAAATATGAAGAGTTGGCTTTGTGGAGAGAAATGTTTTCCCTTTGTGTACGTTTGCCTTGTCACTATGGTTTGGAATGTCTAACTATGAGGTCACAGCAGTTAGCCTCAGGCAAGTCAACAGATAACTCTGTTCTTCTGTGTGTGTGTGTGTGTCTGTGTGTGTGTGCGTGTGTGTTGACGGTGCTGTGGAAGCTGTGTGACACACAAGATTTATTATTTCTTACAAGTTTTAGTTTACTAATGCTTTAATTAGAGTCAAAACTACTTTATTGATCTCCGAGGAGAACTTGGCTTTGTAGTTGCTTCGGCAACTTTATTTAGTTTTTAGGGCAAATTATGTATTTGTTGTTTTTCATCATGAAATGGATGAATGTTCTTGTCTTTAGAACTGTTGCTGCCCTCATCAGGACGCGTGTGTAAAAGACAAGTTCATCTCAGTCTTTTCCTGGTACAATGTGACAAATAAAAAAAAAAAACATGTTGAGTGCTATGTGTAAATAAGAATTCCAAAAGTAAATTCTAAGTCTACCTACTACAAACTTCAAACACCAAAAGCTACAACATCTAATAAGTTGGAATGTTGCATAAAATATTGGCCTAAATATTGCACATTAAAATGGTATGTTGCAGGAATATTGACTATAATATAGTCAATATTTCAATAAAGAATAGATAAATATAAAACATTTATATCATATACATTTTTTATATATATACAGTATATATACGCACATATATTTGTTTATATATGTATTTATATGCATGTGTATATATAATAAACATTCATTACTATAAGAACCATTTAGACAAAGATTTGAGTTCATATTTTTGCAGCCCTATGGGAGATCAGAGCTGTCATCCTTTCACTGGTCTTTGATTGTTTAAAGAAGCATTGTTTTGATGGGACTGTGAAGTCGTCATGGTTCTCTTTAGGAGATCATTCAGACTGTGCTGCTCTGGGGGCCTGTCTGTGTCGAGGACAAAGTCATTTCTGCTGTTGATCTTCAGTTAGTTCTCAGGTCTGAACAAAATGTGGGGGAAGAGCAGAGCGTGCCTTAACATGCAACCATGCATTCTTTTTCACAAATGCCTGACTTTTCTGGGCCCATTATACACAAGTACACATCAGTGTTGGAAAAAAACCTTTCCATTTTACTGTTTTTAATTTCTTCTCAGATTATGGAAAACTTTTGACTTGACACCATATCTATTTCCTTTGGTTAATTTGTGAAAGTAAATAGTGAAACACTGGCTCCAGTACTTGAGTAGAATCCCTGTGGTTGGTACCTCCTATGTTCCAAGTACTTTCATAGAGGTCACAGGGCTGTGGTGGCTTGGTGGTTAAGGAAGCAGACTTGGGTCCAGAAGGTTTCAGGTTTGAATCCACCAGCTGCCAAGTTATCATTGAGGTGCTTGAGGTGCCCCCCCCCCCTGCCCCGCTGACAGTGGTGTGCTGTATCACAGTGACAAATAATTCACTTTCACCTAATGTTAAGGCTGTATCTGAACTCTTGTCCAGGTATGTGCCCCCTGAACAGGCTAAGACAGTAGCTTCAGTCCATGCTTCCATCTCTGGCTCCTCTAACAGCAGCACCAGCAGCACCCCAGAGGTTAGACCACTCAAGTCCCTGATGGGGGACTCAGTCCCCGCCCTGCACCTCAGCAAGCACACACCCCCAAATCAGGTGAAATCTACATTTTATTATTTGATATCTGGATATGGCTGTGAAAGACTGTGCCCTTGGTCTCAGTTTAGACTCCGTCTTTTTGTCTTCAGTCACCAGTGACGAACCGTGGACAGACCCATCATCATCATCATCATCATCAGCAGCAGCAGCAGCAGCAGCAGTTCCAGGACAAAAAGTTTGACCTCCTCAGTGACTTGGGTGGAGACATCTTTGCTGCCCAGCCTAATGTGAATGCCAGCACCAACTCTGGTTTTGCAAACTTTGCACATTTCAATAACCACACAAGTAAGAAAAGCACAAAATGTTTGGCACAAATATGTGAAACTTGTTCATTACTTTAATATAAACATTCTTTAACATCGCAACAGAATCCTGTACTGTTGATTGGCCGTTAGTGTTAGTCATCCATTATGTTCATATAAACCATCATGTCATGTGTGTAAATCTCCTCCATTGCTCTTCCTTCATTGTTGTCTTTTGTGGGTGTCTCTGAACATCACTCCTCCACCACCTCCAGCTTCAAAGAACGCCAACACAAATGCAGACTTTGCAAATTTTGATGCATTTGGGAGCAGTTCTGGGTCATCGGGCTGTTTTTCCTGCACACCTCAGGCCACATTTCAACCCTTGAGCACAGGTACAGCGTGCGCCTACACTGGGCAGCGAACAAACACCCACATTCAAATGAAAAACATGACGGAAGTTCAGATCTGGTATTCAAATGCACCACGTTTGTGTCCTCAGTCTGTTTGGGTGTTTGAAACAGTGCCCTCTGCTGGTGGTTTTTCTTTCTGCCGCTCGGTTTCACGACTTCCTTACTGTTCTCTATTGCATGATAGATAAACTCCACTCTGTCCTGTGACTTTCTAAGAAATCACTGCTCTATCTCTCTCTCTCTGTGTTTTATTTTAATTTAACTTTATTATTTTGTCTTTACATTTTCTCAGCTTTGGTTTTTCTTGACATCTTTTCTTTGTTTCTGAATTTGCCGTGCTTCCATTCTTCAACCTCTGCTGCCTTTTTTGATTTTTGGCTGCCAGTGATCACTTTGCTTTCATCCAGCCACAGTGTGGGTAAGTGTTCAGTAGATCTCTGTTTATGATTTCCAACACCACCCTTAATCATCCAAGAACTTTTCCTAAAATAACGTGGTGTCTTATATGCTGTATCACCTATTACTTATAATGGTAATTTTTATGCACAATACACCAGAATAATAAGAAAAAATGATGTGTAAGATTTAATTAATTAATTTCATCTGTTTTTAGAAAAAGGCTTTTACATGTTTGAATATTAGGTATTGTGATTTCTTTCCAAATGCACAGTACTTATATACTTGAAGGCCAGGGACCACTTGAATATCTTTAAGGATCACCAGGGGAACCTTGACCATTGGTTGAAATCCCCTATTGTAAATAATGCCTCTCAAACAACTTTACCTTCTATAATGCATTATTGAGTATCATCCAGTTTCGTCGAGACCCTAACCCCTCTCTCTCTCTCTCTCTCTCTCACTCTCTCTCTCAATCTCACTCGCTCTCTTTTTTTTTTTTTTTTTTTAAACAGGCAGTGCCTCCGGGGGTCTAGCAAATGTTAATTTTGCAAATTTTGACAACTTCCACAAATCATGTAGTGCTGAGTTTGGAGCCTTCGGTGCCTCCTCCCAGGGTAACTCCACAGGAGCAGGGGGGGTTCAGGGCACTGGCTTCCCTGCTGACAGATACGCGGCCCTGGCTGACCTAGATAATATGTTTGGCTCTGGGAAAACTGAACAAGGTGAGCTTCACCTGAATGGCTAAACTCAATGTAAGGAGACTTGCAATTTATTTAGCATTTATATTGATGCTAGTTTTTAAAATGTTCAATCAATCATTCATTCAATCAATCAATCAATCAATAATTTTCTTCATGTCTGTTTTAAATTAACATTCCCCCGGTCGCCCCTAGGTAGTATCCCTGGGACAGTGAGCTTAGCTACAGCACCTGAAGTGGCTGCTGCACCTCAACAGCAACCTGCAGTGCCAGCAGGGGGCGATCGCTACGCAGCTCTTGCTCAGCTGGATACTGTATTTGCCCCCCCCCCAGAGTCTGCCAACAATGTTTACAATACCTGTGGCACATCACAAAGGTAACATGACCCCTTACAGTACAGTAGATTAGACTGTCTTCTTTGACTGATGTTGCTGCGTTTGTTTTCACCTGCAGTGGTCTCTTTGGTTCAGAAGCTGCAGTGTCAAAAGCACCAGCTCAGCCTCCACTGCCTGGAATGGCTCAAGGTTTTGAAAGTGAGTGATCAGATGGACTATTTTTTTTCTTTTCTTGGTTTATTCTTAATCTGTTATTAATTTATAATGTGATACAGTGTTGATGGGTTTGCTCTCATAATGGCCGTGTTGACTCTCCACCAGCTCAGCCAACTAATCCATTTGTAGCTGCTGGTGTGGCCCTGTCAGTGGCCCCCACCAACCCATTTCAGAGCAATGGCAGAGCAGCAGCAGCAGCAGCAGCATCAGGTGAGTACGTTAGCAAGTCTAAATGTGTGTCTGAGCACCATGTCACACACAGAAATGTTTTATTTTGAAAATGCAGAATGCACAAAAATGCATTGCTGCAAAAACAATGAGAATTCCCAGAGAGGTTCTTGGAAGGGTTCAGATAAACGTGCAAGAATGTGCACTGTGTACATTGGTGTTTTTAATGTAATTAGAGTGGCCAGTCTAATTGCTGTTGCCATGCAATCAGACATGATGAGGTGTCTTCATCAGGTTCACCAGGAGTCACTTTATCTTCCTCGCTCATTTATACATTTCCTCATTTTTTTCTGTTGCAAATGTTAGAGTGAAATGTTGGGAGAGGAAATAAGACATTGACGAAATCAACATAAGACCAAACCTATAGCTAGAGATAAAAAAGAAAGTTCAACACTTCTCTTTGTTGTTGTTTCCTCTGACTTTGAACTCGAAGTCAAAATCTTCATGACTTAAGTTGAGTTAAACAAATTCATTTTTGACTTTATGTTCCTCATTGCTTCTCTTGGTGGCCGTATTTCTTTTAAACTGTCCACCTTACTAAGTTGTCAGCTAATCATGACTTAATCCTCCACTCTTCCAATAATTCCTTCTTTTCTGTGGACAGTCTGTGGTTGTGTTTGTTGCGGTGTTGCTGTGATTATTTCTTAAATCTCTTGATATCTTACTATTTGCAGCATCATTTGGCACAGGTTCCATGAGTATGCCTGCTGGATTCGGAAACGCTGCAGCCTACAACCTTCCCACCAGCTTCAGTGGAACTTTTCAACAACCCTATCCTGGCCAGGCTCCGTACCCTCAGCCTCCTGTGTACCCTCAGCAACATAATGGTGAGTAAATCCCAGTCAATAAACCCTTCTATAATATAATATAATAAACCGTTCTGAGTGCCCCACCACACAAAAGGCCACATTTTCACATTTGCACACCCTGAATAATTCTAACCTGTTGTGGCCTGTGGTTTTGCTGTGAGGCATCATTTACTTTGGATGGAAAATAATCAGATGTGAGACATGACATTGACATGTACTGTATGTTTGACCCACTAGACGTGTGTTTGCACTTAAATGTGAAAAGCATTGAAAGTACATGAATCAACTCAACTACGTGCATTTGTTTTTCATAATTAGCTTCACTGTTACTGTGGAAATGTCTCCTTTAAGAAACATGTTCCCAACCTTCATGGGGTTTTCCTGGTTAAATTGGTGTTACTATGGAATAATATTCAATATTATTGAACAATACATTGTTACCACCAATAAAAGGTAGGATGTTAACTGATTTTATAGTGCTATGTTTTTTCTTATACAGTGGAACTTTAGATTTAGAACCTCAGTTGTTCCTGAAGGACGTTCATGAAGTAAATCAATGTTAAATGGATGAATCGGTTCCTGGTTCCTGGATGACTGCTGATTCAAAGTTTTTGTGAACAGGTTCAAACAGGAAACCAATGAAAATAATTAGATCCAACAAAAAAGATCAACACAAGTGAATAAAGAATCAAACTATAAATAGAAGAGGTCATTTCATTGGTCCTTATGGCTGCTGAGGAATCCTGATTGGACAACGTTCACTTCTCACTAATGATTGTCTCTGAAATCCTGTGGTCGTCCGACTGTCTGTGGTTGATCTAGATCAGTGTCAGTGTTTCCACTTCCTCTACTGTCTCTAATCTGACTGTAAATCCAGATCTGAAACACCAACTCTATTCTTATGCTTTTGTATAATCTTTCTTCACTTCTATGGTTGTTCTCATGGCGATTTATGAAATAAAAAAATTGAAGAAATAGCACAACGCAAGAAATACCAGCAAAATCAGACTACAGTTCTTAGCGTGCATGGGTTAGTGTTGTGTTGTTGGCTTGTTTGTCAACAGAGTTATGGAACGACACCCAGGGCCCCTTGTTCAAAAGTTTGAGCCTCCACTGAACATCTATAACAATATGTGTTTGTTCTAGGTGGAGGATTTCCAACCTTTGGTCAGGCTAAGCCTCTGGTGACTCCATTTGGTCAACCAGTAGGTGGCACAATGGTCCAAAGCAACCCTTTCTTGGTTAGTAATATACATGATTTATTCTCCTGTTGATGTCTGTTCAACATATCAGTCACCAAACAACAGAGATGACGGCAGGTGAATTAGTCAAAGCTGTTTTCTTTTTTCTCTCCTTCCAGGGTGTGGCTCCACCTGCTCAGTATCCAGCAGGGGGCTCTTCCACAAATCCCTTCTTATAGTGATCCATCCAATCAGCTGCACTACAGGGTCAACGACTGGCACGCTTGCACCTATTGCACTGTTTTGTTTCACAAGTAGCTTTAAAAATGCAACGTTTGTAAGGATTTTCATATTTTCTATCCAGAACATGTGAATCTGTGGAAAAAAGGACAGTCATGTTGACACTTTTTACTGAGGACAAAACCAAGTGAGGGTGTGTGCAGAGGGAGAGGCTGAACTCCTCCTCTCTTATGAATTAACCTGTGAATTCATGGCCTCAGCCTCCACTGAGCCACAGAGTCTAATGGCTGAAACCCAAGTTATTCCATACAGACTTCACTTAATTCATTATGCTGCATTTCTGTACAATGTGTTTTTTCATTGTGGAAAAGGATTTAGCTCTTTGTGCATATCAGTATTTGTATCCAGTCCAGGATTTGTTAGGGCGGGTACTGCCAGTGATCACATTTGTAAAGAGAAGCTTTTTATTTGTGCTGCAGGTCAACATTTCAGAATGAGAGGCATTTCTCTGCCATCCTTCCTGCCCTGCTGACACACGCTCAGCTCTCTGGGTTTCTGCAACACATTTTACATTATTGTAACCAGAACAAATGAACTGGGAAAAAAAAAACACTTGCATCGGGTATGATCATTTTAAGTTAATGTGTAAATATATACAGTATATATTAAAATGAATTTTAAGAAATGACCAAAGTACTCATTTATACGGTTGTGTGGAATCTTGTACATTTATTTTGTATAAAGGAAAGAACTATAATCAAGGTGTGGCAGTTGGTAATGAGTACTTTATGTTGTGTGTTGACTTATGGCTGAGGACCTAAAGGTCAGGAGGTCACTGCTGGGTTAATGTCATGATTTGATACTTTTTTTTTTTCTCTCCAAATGACAAACAGGCCCCGGAGTGAAAACACAAACGCAATGGTTGCGTAGTAGCTGGAATATATGGTGAACTGGAAAAAAAAAACCCACAAAATTGAATAATAATTATTGGTTTGTTAACAAGTATGTTTTTGAGAGTTTGTGTCATACGTTTTTATTTTTTTATTTAGATGACTAACCTGAGGAATGATGGCCAAACCCAGTCCTCTACTGTCCACAACCACAGCTGTGATGATGGTTTGTAGAGCCAGACCTCCAAAACTGTTTGTTCCAAACATCAGTGCATACCTTTCCATTGACAGGCCAGCTGCAACCTGGAACCTGGATCAGAAATGGAAAGTCATATTGTCTAAAATGTCGTAAAATGTGATTTTTATCAGATCCCAAAATGAAAACGTCTTACGTTGCGATTGTAATCAGCAGCATGTACAGGCTCTTGAAAACGATGTAGGCAGCGTAGCAGAGCCATATGTTACTGCTGAAGGTCATGAGGAAAAGGGCAGCTGCTCCAAGCCCAGAGAATCCACCCAGAGCCAGCTCCCCCCACGTCTCCCATCTGACCTGAGTGAAGCCGATTCCATAGGCTGTGGCTGCACCTGTGCAGTTAATGTGTTAGGGCTGTCTCTGAAGGAAGTATTCTGAGGAAATGCATCGGTACTTCACTGCAGGTATATTTCTATTCTGCGCTCATCTAAAGTGGCATACTCATCAGGTTTGACACGGCCTCCACACCACCGTTGTAGATGCTGAAGTTCTGGGATGGCTGAACGTGCTCCCACAGCACCTGCAGTGGATGTTACAGTGGCAGTATTACAGTATTGTATGAAGTGTTAAAAACAAGTGCAAGGAATGTGTGGTACATAGATGTAACGCAACACTTAGGTGTGTGTGTGTATATACATGTACATGTTTGTATATGCGAGTATATGTCCATACATGTGTTTCTCTTCAAGGTCCGTTGTTAAAAACTTGGACTAATGTAATTGTTGTTGTTCTTGTTATATAGAGATCAATATTCACTGACTGCGTTTGACCCAAACTGACTTGTACGTAATTGACCGTCAGGTTATAACCACAGGTGGCCAAGGCCCACCACGCTGACCAGTACAGCAGCTTTCTGGAGGTGTAACAGTCACAGAAGTTCCTCCACAGCTGCAGGAGAACAGAGGAACAGCTTTCAAACTCTGCAGATTCTTTGGGTCCAGATCCTGTTTTATTTCTGTCTCCAACATCCTCTTTTTCTGGTTCACAGCTTTCCTCCAATGTTGTTTTTGTGTCGTTTACAGTTATTGTGGATACCGTTGGGTTGTCCTCTGCTGTCCCATCGCCGTCGGTTTTCATTCTCACCACTGGCGTCTGTCTGCGGTGAAAGAACATGCTCCTCTGTGGCATTGGCAGGAGGCAGGAGACAAAAAGAGCAACGGCGGTCAGAACCAGAGTCATCACCAAGATGTTGTTGTAGGACATCAGGTCGAAGCTGACAAGGAGCTGACCCAGCACAGAGCCCACTGTATAGCCCAACAGTTGAACACTACGGCAGTAAGATGTGGCCTTCCGGTATCTCCTGTGATCTATTACACTTTCATGGACAAAATGGGGAAATATTTAGAAATATTGACCCGCAAAAGGGTATTCCGTTTTTTGGACCATGAGTGAATTACCTGTAGATGTAGGAGAAGTAGGCCACATCACTGGCAGTCACCACCCCATAGAAGAACTGCATGGCCTGCATGGCTGCTGTCGTCTTTGTCCACAGAAGCAGGGCAGTGGTGAGGAAGAGTGCAACTCCCTGGGACATCACAACAGGCTTGTATCGCAGCCAGTCAGTCAGCAAGAACACCGGCACTAGTGCTGACAGGTAGGAGTAGGTCCAGACAGGCAGAATTTGGTTATTGACCTGATGGAGGGAAACCAGGGCAGTGGATGAAATTCATCCATTTCACTTTGGAAAGTACTGCTCATATCAGATACTAACAGGTGTTAATGTTGTCCACAACAGAAAATTCTACTGCATGAAACTCACACTTCTTTCACTGTGGTGTTCTTTGAGTTCTATCCTCCTCATCTAATGTAGGCTTTGTGTCTCATTTGAAATACCTTTAGTTTCACCTAACCAAATAATCAGCTTCAATTATGTTCATTTGTTACAGGTTGTCCTCAGCACACTCGCTTCAGATGAGACGTTATTCTTGATCTACGATGTAACTGTCAAATCCTGAACACACAAATTTTTCAAAACCTCGTAGGTTAAATTAAGTTCTTTTGTTTTCTCTCTAATGCTTTTATAGGCGACAGCTTTAAAGTTTAAAGTTAGTGAAAGCTAGGGTTAGCGTTACAGTTGCATCCTTGTGGTTTAATATAGTCAGTCATGACTCAACATATGGACCCAGACCCTCCAACAGGTTATCCACTCATGTTCCAGAGTCACAGGTCAGTTATTGGAGCAGTTTGAAGTTGACTTCATTAACAGACCTTTAGCTCAGTACCTGCTCTGCTGTTAGGTTCTTGTCCGGCCCTGTAAGGTATGCAAAGAGGAAAGGTTCCAGTGGTTTCACTGTGCTGAAAAATCCATAGAAGCACAGGAGGGTGGTTGGGAACTTCCAGCTTGACCTCCACCTTTCAACGGTCTCCATCTTGTGCTTTGGTCGGAATCCTTTGCCTTCTTTGTGGAAGGAAAACAAGGAAGTGAGTGAACACTGGTTGGTTATTAACAACAAGGTCAAAGCTTAAGATAAATGAGTCCAGGTCACACAGAGATACCACCTGATAAGAGCTGAAACACTTCATCTCTAATGTGTAGCAGCGTTTTGACGTTCTCACGTGGCAACATATAATCAAAGGGTCGTAATCCATCTGTGTGTATATGTATATATATTTGTGTGTGTGTTTTTCTCTTTATCTGTATATATTCATGTATGTGTGTATACATACATATATGTGTGTGTGTGTGTGTGTGTGTATTTTTTAATTATCTTGAAACGTTCAGGTACAACTTTTCACGCAGCGACCGTTGCTGCATGCAATAGGTAAGACTAACCACTAGATGTCGCTCTGTCACTGAATAAATATTCTTGATAACAACTATCCTCATTAAAGTCACCATGACGTGGTGCAGGAAGGAGGCAGATGCAGCTAACCCAGGAGACGCCGATGAGTCCACGTGACTGGACATCAGCTCCTCACTGCATTCTTCTTCTAATGATTGATTGTTTTGTTCATCACATCAACATCATTGACACTACATCGGCAGAGTGTAGCATCTAAACATCTAATTTCCACTTCCATGTCCTGACATTGATGATGAAGTGTTTTGACCAGACAAGTCATTACAAACTGATTGTTCTTTTTCACCAACAGGGCCGGGTTGAGGTTTAGTCTCCACGTTCTCAGTCTGGTGATGATGGTCTTTTCTCAAATGAATACTGAATGCTCAGTCAATCATGAAACCCCTGAACTGACATGCTGTTCTTCTATATTCCGTAGGAGTTCCTCCTGTGCTCCATTTAACTCCTGCACTGAGGTCACACTGAGGTGAGAATCACTGATTCCAATCTAATCAGAAAGAGGAAGATGAAACTTAAGAGGTTCCTGCTCCGATATTATCCTCCAGGTAATCAATCATAGGGTGACGTCATTTATAATTCAACGATGGAAGGCTTTAGACTTTCTGACGATATCCTGCCGTAGTGAGCACTTTAGCTGTTTCCCTGTTTAAAGCCGCTTCTGTTCGATGATCAGGTATCATCCTGGAGTATGAGAAAGGAGGACAGCTGAGAACCAAGTCCATAGACCTTCTGGATTTAACTCCAAAGTACGTGAGTTGTTCTCTTTGAAGTAGAAAAAAAAAAAAACCAAATAAAAACAACTAAAAGACAGAGACCGACCTACAGGAAGTGCTGTGACGACGCCCTCAATTTGCCTTTTTAATAATTAAAAACATGGAATGACTAAAGATGAATCCCATGTTCTTAAAATGTTCTTTATTTCCCATGTGATGTTCACACTTGACTTATTATCTTACACTGCACCATAAAGTGCAGGAAATAAATAAGAATGAATTTACCACTGTAAACACATGAATCAAATTCAATCAAAATCAAGTTAAAAATACACAAATGTCTTTAATATTATTTTACACGTCAGGATCTTTTTTATAAATACAATTGTGTTTGTTTTATTTAATGATGCTTGAAGTAAAAAAACATTTAGTTTTAATAGACTTTGAATGGACTTTGGACATTAAAATAAAATTCTTGTAGCGATGTGATGAATTTGTGGTCGACGTCACGGTCATCGAGCACTTAAAGCACAAAGGTTTCATTTCCATATGATTCTCTCCGTGCAGAACAAACCCTAATGAAGTGCTTGCAGAGATCAGACGATCAGAGGTTCTGATCACAGAGACCCGAGCTGATCAGGTCAAACAGCTGATCCTACGACTACAGGAGAAACAGGGCCAGCAGAACCAGCACAGGTTCTGTTTCTCTAAGGTCAGACCCACTTCAGACTGAGGAAAGAAAGTTTTGTTTTTACGCCTCATGATTTTGAATCACAGTAGTATTTGGCCTCAGCCAGTGAAAAATACTTCTCAGTACTCAGATTGCTGACTTTTTACCTCTGATTGTTCTTTGGTTTGAAATGTCTTGTGAGATAGGCTGTTATTTGTCCAACCATACACTAGAGAGCAGCACTAGTTGGAGGTTATAGCTCTGTCACCATAGTTTATCTTCAAGGTTCAGTTCAGTTTTTTAACTTATAATACATAGTATAATTTGAAATATTTCTCATGAACCTATTTTAGAATTTTTATTGTCTGTCTTGAGTACAAAAGAAAATCTATGTTTTGAATTTCTCGTCAACATATCTTTTTGTTTCTTTTGTTGCAGGAGCTGAAAGCACACATACTGCCACTGACAAATGTTGCCTTTGACAAATCGGGATCCAGGTGAGTGACGTCCTCTGACCTCTGTCAGTCTGGTGCCATGGCGTTCCTGTAACAGTATTTCCTCCAGGTTCATAACGGGCAGCTACGACATTCAGTTCCTCCTGTGCTCCATTTAACTCCTGCACTGAGGTCACACTGAGGTGAGATTCACTGATTCCAATCTAACACTTTCACTTTTTCCTCTTATCTGTGGCCACAGTATTTGGCATCATCTTAAACTCATTGAGAAGAACAGACACAGGCAAACTAAGGCCCGGGGGACATATGCAGCCAATTCCACTTTTTAATTCAGCCACCAAATTATATAATTTATTTATATTATCATTATACTTCTGCCTTTTCCCTGCAATACCCACGTTTCCCCAATAGATGGTCCAGTGGTACCTCCTGCTGAGACCACGAGTCCATTATGGCATCCTGACGAAGGTGAGGAAAAATCCATAACCACAGTCCTCATTTCTGATGATCACAGGGTGCCTTTCACACATGACTTATTTAAGGTGTTCTGTCGAGGAATGACAGAGCAGTCTTTAAAAACACAGACTACTCAGTACTCAGTACTGCAGATGACGTCATCTTAATGATAAAATACATCATCGTGAGCAGATCAGGTCAGATTTACAGACTGAATCTTGTTAAACAGAAACTCTTTAAGCCTTTCACTATTTTCCTGAAATGACATAAAAAAAACTTCTGCTCATTAATAAATATTGGATCGGATTATATCCTGCGTGTGTCCATATGTAACCGGTAGGTACCTGCACAATCAAAAGAAGCGCTTGTTTTATTACCCAGTGCTGCGCGGTCTGGATCCATGAGCGATTTTTGACGCATGCGCAGTAACAGCCCTGGTCACTGTGGTAACTGTTTGTTGACAGGGCCACGAGAGTTAAGAAAGAGGAAGAGAATCACAGTAGTATTTGGCCTCAGCCAAACTGAAACTTAAGAGGTTCCTGCTCCGATATTATCCTCCAGGTAATCAATCATAGGGTGACGTCATTTATAATTCAACGATGGAAGGCTTTAGACTTTCTGACGATATCCTGCCGTAGTGAGCACTTTAGCTGTTTCCCTGTTTAAAGCCGCTTCTGTTCGATGATCAGGTATCATCCTGGAGTATGAGAAAGGAGGACAGCTGAGAACCAAGTCCATAGACCTTCTGGATTTAACTCCAAAGTACGTGAGTTGTTCTCTTTGAAGTAGAAAAAAAAAAAAAAACCAAATAAAAACAACTAAAAGACAGAGACCGACCTACAGGAAGTGCTGTGACGACGCCCTCAATTTGCCTTTTTAATAATTAAAAACATGGAATGACTAAAGATGAATCCCATGTTCTTAAAATGTTCTTTATTTCCCATGTGATGTTCACACTTGACTTATTATCTTACACTGCACCATAAAGTGCAGGAAATAAATAAGAATGAATTTACCACTGTAAACACATGAATCAAATTCAATCAAAATCAAGTTAAAAATACACAAATGTCTTTAATATTATTTTACACGTCAGGATCTTTTTTATAAATACAATTGTGTTTGTTTTATTTAATGATGCTTGAAGTAAAAAAACATTTAGTTTTAATAGACTTTGAATGGACTTTGGACATTAAAATAAAATTCTTGTAGCGATGTGATGAATTTGTGGTCGACGTCACGGTCATCGAGCACTTAAAGCACAAAGGTTTCATTTCCATATGATTCTCTCCGTGCAGAACAAACCCTAATGAAGTGCTTGCAGAGATCAGACGATCAGAGGTAGCGATTTTTGACGCATGCGCAGTAACAGCCCTGGTCACTGTGGTAACTGTTTGTTGACAGGGCCACGAGAGTTAAGAAAGAGGAAGATGAAACTTAAGAGGTTCCTGCTCCGATATTATCCTCCAGGTAATCAATCATAGGGTGACGTCATTTATAATTCAACGATGGAAGGCTTTAGACTTTCTGACGATATCCTGCCGTAGTGAGCACTTTAGCTGTTTCCCTGTTTAAAGCCGCTTCTGTTCGATGATCAGGTATCATCCTGGAGTATGAGAAAGGAGGACAGCTGAGAACCAAGTCCATAGACCTTCTGGATTTAACTCCAAAGTACGTGAGTTGTTCTCTTTGAAGTAGAAAAAAAAAAAAACCAAATAAAAACAACTAAAAGACAGAGACCGACCTACAGGAAGTGCTGTGACGACGCCCTCAATTTGCCTTTTTAATAATTAAAAACATGGAATGACTAAAGATGAATCCCATGTTCTTAAAATGTTCTTTATTTCCCATGTGATGTTCACACTTGACTTATTATCTTACACTGCACCATAAAGTGCAGGAAATAAATAAGAATGAATTTACCACTGTAAACACATGAATCAAATTCAATCAAAATCAAGTTAAAAATACACAAATGTCTTTAATATTATTTTACACGTCAGGATCTTTTTTATAAATACAATTGTGTTTGTTTTATTTAATGATGCTTGAAGTAAAAAAACATTTAGTTTTAATAGACTTTGAATGGACTTTGGACATTAAAATAAAATTCTTGTAGCGATGTGATGAATTTGTGGTCGACGTCACGGTCATCGAGCACTTAAAGCACAAAGGTTTCATTTCCATATGATTCTCTCCGTGCAGAACAAACCCTAATGAAGTGCTTGCAGAGATCAGACGATCAGAGGTTCTGATCACAGAGACCCGAGCTGATCAGGTCAAACAGCTGATCCTACGACTACAGGAGAAACAGGGCCAGCAGAACCAGCACAGGTTCTGTTTCTCTAAGGTCAGACCCACTTCAGACTGAGGAAAGAAAGTTTTGTTTTTACGCCTCATGATTTTGAATCACAGTAGTATTTGGCCTCAGCCAGTGAAAAATACTTCTCAGTACTCAGATTGCTGACTTTTTACCTCTGATTGTTCTTTGGTTTGAAATGTCTTGTGAGATAGGCTGTTATTTGTCCAACCATACACTAGAGAGCAGCACTAGTTGGAGGTTATAGCTCTGTCACCATAGTTTATCTTCAAGGTTCAGTTCAGTTTTTTAACTTATAATACATAGTATAATTTGAAATATTTCTCATGAACCTATTTTAGAATTTTTATTGTCTGTCTTGAGTACAAAAGAAAATCTATGTTTTGAATTTCTCGTCAACATATCTTTTTGTTTCTTTTGTTGCAGGAGCTGAAAGCACACATACTGCCACTGACAAATGTTGCCTTTGACAAATCGGGATCCAGGTGAGTGACGTCCTCTGACCTCTGTCAGTCTGGTGCCATGGCGTTCCTGTAACAGTATTTCCTCCAGGTTCATAACGGGCAGCTACGACAGGACGTGCAGAGTGTGGGACACAGCCTCACGCTCTGAGCTGCACGCTCTGGAGGGCCACAGAAATGTGGTGTACGCCATTGCATTCAACAACCCCTACGGGTAAGAAGTAGTTGCAGTTAAAAAATCAACTATTTTTTTATTCTAAAATATTGTCTTTATTTCCTCTCCGATAACTCAGAAATAAAATCGCCACCGGCTCCTTCGACAAGACGTGCAAACTGTGGTGTGCTGAGACAGGCAAATGTTTTCACACCTTTCGTGGACACATAGCAGAGATAGTACGTATGACAATCTGTTCACTGTGAAAATCTTTTCTCATGTTTGAGTGTGGCAGGAAAATGAACATTGAATTAGCATATCATCTTCATGATAAATAAGTTACTTTTTCAAGCTCCAACATTCAACTCTGGTTAATGTGCTGTTTTGTAGGTGTGCCTGGCATTCAATCCCCAGAGTACACTAGTGGCCACAGGCAGTATGGACGCCACTGCCAAGCTCTGGGATGTGGAGACCGGGGAGGAGCTAGCCACTCTGACTGTCAGTTATTTTCTTTTTTGTCAATACATAATATTTCTCAAAGCACCACATCCTCGGAGTTCTGCTTCCCGGGTTCATAGTCTGTCCATCAATAATGTATTAAATACTTGTGAGGGTAATTACTGCAGCTGGTAACGGTCTTACAGGACTACGATCTAATGTAGTCCTCTGTAATACTTCAGTCAGTGCAGAAGGCAGCTGGGTCCTTGGAGTGAGTTCTGGGAGGGTGGCGGGGGGCACCAGTGTGTCTCAGTGTGGACACATTGGTCACAGCTTAGTGTTTTAACACTTCACACTGAAAAGATTCCAATCCAAACAGCACTGAGTGTAGATTCTAGCTTTCATATTTCTGTCCCATCAATGTAAAGCATGATCCGTGAAGGGGGGGTTATGAACTAAGGCAGTGGTCCCCAACTCCTGGCCATGGACCGACACCGGTCCGTGGGTCAATTGGTCCTGGGCCGCACAGAAACAATCCATAACTTAAATTAGTTCTGTTTTATTTATTGTCTGATTCCGAACAATGTTTTATTTTGAAAACTTCTCTCCACCTTACACTTGAATTTGTGTGGCTATGGTTGATAACTTCTTATAGTACTTAGAAAGACCAAATGTTTTTGGAGGTGGAAGGGCGGTATCATAGCGGTAAAAACTTTTCTGTTTGATGTGCAGATGGAAGAAATAACTCTTTTTTTAAAATTCCATCCAGGGTCACTCTGCCGAGGTTCTCTCTGTCTGCTTTAACACAGTGGGAAATCAACTTGTAACTGGCTCGTTTGACCATACTGTTGTTATATGGGACGTTGCATCACGAAGGTGAGGTCTCGCTGGCGTAATGTGATTCATGCAGCCGTGAGCAACTTTTACAATCACACCAAATGAATGTGCACATGACAATGTATGGATTTTCACCTACAACTCCGGTCACACTGCTTGTCTTTTTTCTAGACGTGTTCACACGTTGATCGGCCACAGAGGAGAAATCAGCAACGTGCAGTTCAACTGGGACTGTTCTCTCATAGTCACAGGCTCCATGGACAGAAGCTGCAGAGTAATTAACTCCTAATTCTTAATTAGACACAGATGACTCACATCACATGTAGGAATGATTCATCTCTGATTTGAGGGTTAGGGTTGGAGCAGATCAACCAGTGATCACACTGTGGACATTTACATCAGTCCATCACATGACCACACACAGACACGCTGATACTTACGCCTAATTCAGAAACGGCCAGAGAAAAACACACAGACCAGGAAGTGAACCAGCCTACAGGCTTCATGCTGTAAGGCAAGTCCACAAACCACTCCTCCACCAATGGGCCCTGGAAGCAACTGTCTGTTATTGACATTAATATTGACTTTAATAAATGTTTTTTTTTCAGGTCATTTATTTGTAAAAAAAAAAAAGGCCACAACTAAAGTTTATTTTTAGACTTTAAAAAAACAAAAAACAAAAAAAGAAACTTTACCAAAACTGTCAGCAATGACTTTGATCCAGTTTTTAGAGCAGAAGTTTCATGAGCTGGAGCTGGAGTTTCATGTCCAGTTGCCTAACGGAACTGTTCAACCTTGACCATGACCTGGATGACATCATCTTCATAGACATCTGTAGAGTTCTGACACTCCACACTAAGTACCTGTGTTTCATCCCTCTACTGTTGTCAGCGGGAGGAAGTCACTGTGTGGTTGTTTGATGTTTGTCGTTGCAGCTGTGGGAGGCAGACAGTGGGAGGTGTGTGGCCACTCTGACTGGACATAGTGAAGAAGTGCTGGATGTGTGCTTCAATCTAAGTGGTCACCTTGTTGCCACTGCATCTGCTGATGGTGAGACTTTATTTTTGACTTGACTTAGTTTGACTTTATTTACTCCAACATATGAAGACGGGAGAGATTTGTCAGATCTTTATCATGTGATCACCTGTGTTAGGTGTTCATGTGATCAGCAAACAGCACGTTTTTAACCAATCTTACAAGGGATTTAGGTTAAAGAGGAAATCTTTATTATTTTCATAAAGAAGATCAAGTTGTAGAACTTACTGACGATCCCTTGTATTAAACTACCGTACTCTCCTCCACCCACAGGTACAGCACGAGTGTTCAGTGCAGCTACACATCAGTGTCTGGTGACCTTGGTTGGCCATGATGGAGAGATCTCTAAGGTAGGGTTAGGGTTAGTAGGGTTAGCTAATACTTCTGGAAGTATTTGTCTGTCATTGTTTTTCACTGTACTTTCATTTTCATGATCCTTTATTAGAATCCAAATCCAAAAAAGTGATTTCCTTCAACAGAAACCAAAGTTTAAATTGACTTTATATGGGAGGATCTCTGCCATCACAAAATTAGTAATGATCATAATGACCTGTCTGTCAATCCATCCATCCATCCATCTACAGCATCTATCTATCCATAGATCATTTCTTCATTTCTCTAACTGTACTGAAACGATATGAGACCAGTGAGTCCAATCAGCTCTAGCCATGATTTCCATAACAATAATACTAATAATTATTATGATAATGATAATAATGATAATAATCACTGGTAAATCCTCTTTACTGTGAAGTGACGACAGTTAATTTGTGCTACCTGTGTATTTCCCAGTGGAATGACAGTCAGTCAGTGACCAGGTCAGGGTCAGTGTCCAGGTGATAATGTCCCATTTGCAGTACTTGCTCGCTCTTGACAATACGTCTTGTGCTAGATCTGTTTCAGTCCTCAGGGCAGCAGGCTCCTGACTGCCAGCTCAGACATGACAGCTCGTCTGTGGGATGTTCAATCTGGAGTCTGTCTGCAAGTCCTGAGGGGCCACACTGACGAGATATTCTCCTGTGCCTTCAACTATGAGGGTGACACCATTGTTACAGGTAAAAACACGTCACACATGTTTATTTATCTAAGGGTTTTTTATTGTCTGTTTTGGTTATTTGTAGTTTATTTTTTCATTTCTTGTAATTAAAATGTAAAGTAATTTTGTATATTTGCAGAATGATTTGGTTTTAAAGTTTAAGAATTCTATTTTTGCATTCACCTTCCTGCAGGCAGCAAGGATAACACATGTCGGATCTGGTACTGATCATTTCCTGGAACTAACACATTCTTAAATGGACAAATACAGTGGTGGATAACACCAGTATGAACCACGGGCTAATCTGACGTTGCTAATTTGTGCTTTATAAAAGAATTGTATTTTCAAAATTTTGACTTTTATTTTGAAGGATTTATTTTCACTGGTTTTGCTAACAATTAATTTAATATAAATTTACTGAGAATTTTCATTATAATTACCATATCAAATCATGTTAAAAGTTTGAACATAGCTACTTCACTGTGACATGGCTTTTTAATTTCTGTGTTGATAATTGTAACATGGTTCTTTTAAACAGTCTTCACAGATACTGGATGTATTTTACTGGTCACTACAGCAAGTATGTGCAGTATTAAAGTAACATAACTGGTTTTTAGGTCAAAGTCTCAGATACAGACATGAATAATTTATATGTTTTACACTCAGCTCCTACTGTAAAAGAAATCAGTGGCCACCGTGTTCAGATGCTACTCTACTCTACTCTACTCTACTCTACAAATATATATATATATATGTTATCAGCAGTGCACACAGAGACTGTGTCAAGCACGCTGCTACCTGATGTAACCTTGCCTGTAACCTGAACCTTTTTCTGAATCTTTCATTACGACTGCACAAAGATGCCAATGCATTATTTTCTAACCATGTGCTGCACCCCCCTCACGTACTCTTCTGTCACTCCTGTTCCTTTATATGTGGCACAATCCTATTCTTTGCTTTGCTTCTATTCACAAACACGGTGTAGCTCATACTGTGTTGAATGAAAAAGGAGGCTAAGACTGTACGTCACAGATTTTTATTCATGTCAACAGGTTAATACATTCAGTTCTACTGCTAAGTCCCACACCTCCACACATTCCCTCCTTGATCCATGTAACTGTAGAGAAACAACAGTACAGTACAGTACAGTACAAATTCAAACATTGTCTTTTTTTAACATACAGTAGTAAAAGCTAAACGTCACTTCTCCAAAATGCAGCAGCTCCAAATCTACAGCATTTACAGTACAGTACAGTACCGTACCGTACCGCTATTCAAAAATATTCAAGGTTCCAAGTAACGTGAACAAGACGACCACACTTTAAACAGACACTAGAGCTCAGTGTTGAGATGCACGAAGAATTGTATTTAATTGTTAAACAAAGAATGGACCTTTGTGAGCTTGCATTTCTTCAGCTTCTTTTTATACAAATATTTTTAGTGTCTTTGCAGATTTGCATAAAAGTGAACATAATTCTACATTATTGTACTTTGTTTATACTGTATGTGTTACTTTGAAATAAATAAATACACAATTCTGATAAAGCATAAATACATTTTTTTTTCTGAAGCAGTGAGAACCTGCTGATGTGGTGTTGTCCTAAAGATCATTCCTGATCATTCCCTGTCTCACACTCACACAGATCTTTCTTTTTAAAGGGAGACTTTATGATTTTTGTATGGCTTCAAACTAACTAAGAAAACACATTTTCCATATCGTGTGGAACAACATGTATGATGGTTGTATTGACTGTTTGGTGTAGCTCTGTGAACAAACAGTCAGGAACGTGTAAGCGCTGCCTGTGAGTGTGCGTTTTTTCTGTGCAGGATAGATGAGATTTTCAGGTCAACAGAGTCTCCAAAAGCCAATCAAACAGGCCCTTCACTTCCTCTTCTTCCTGTAGCTGACAGAACTGAAGCACTGCTCTGAAGAGGTCTGCAACCCGCCATGACCTCTGGGACATGAGGTGGACCACTCTCTGAAACTGAGACAATAAGTTGACCACCATTATGATGACATTTTAGTTAGAAAATGTTTCTGGATCAATTTTACATTTGTAATTTTACTTTTTTGTAATTCCTCTGTCTACCTTTTCAGCCTTCGTTTCTTTGGATTTCATTAAGCAAAGTACAGGAAAGCCTAGCTCGGAGGCAGCGATCCACTGCAGGGCAACGCTCAGCTCTGAGTCCAAACACTTTGACTCCAGGTCACAGTTGATCACCAAGAGCTCTGTGAGGTTCCCACCACTGCCTGCTGCCCTCACACAGCTGCTCTCTGAAAGACGTGAAGGAACGTTCTGTGTAAGGTTGGTATCTGTACATGTGAGACTTCTAGTAACTTATACTACATGATTCAAAATAACTGTAACTGTAATATTTACAGATTCATTGAAGGTGGAAAATAGTATGTGTGTTTCTTCATACAGAGAAAGGTTTCTGGAGTTTAGTAGAATTCTTTCAAGATCATTATTCTGTGATGTAAATTGAAAATTAAATCCCATACTGCACTTACCAAAAATATTCTCTTTGGCTCCTGTCAGACGGCCTTCCTGGGTTTCCTTACTGTAATAATGGGGGAAAGAAAATCGCAGTAAGATGTGGGCTTTTTCCCTTTTTTAGAATGACTGAATGTAAATTATGAAGCTAATCTCTACAGTTTGTAAGCTAAGGTTTAGCATTAAGATTGGAAACTGTTTTTGGAAGCTGAGTTTGGATGGTGAGAATAGCTGAGATATCTGAGGGACTAGGAGGAATTTGTCCTTTGTTCTTCAATGGCAAATGAGATCACAGAATGTGTTGCCTGATTAAAATCATACAATGATCATGTCTGTGGGTTTGAGAGTCTGTTACAGTATTGGGAAATGTCACTGCTAACGGTGTCAGTTACCTGATTACAGTGCCCTGGGTGGGAACATCATAAAAAGTATCCAGGTCTGCCATTCCCAGGCTGGATGCACTGCTGTTCCCCGTTCTATTATTCAGTAATAAACAAGCATCAAGGCATGTTTTCTAGAGACATCTGACATGATCGCTGATGTGAAAAAAAAACAAGCTCAGTGATGCAGGTCATGTTGCCTTTTAGCTGATGATTAAAATATAAATAGCAGCAACAGAAGGTGAGGGATCAGGTGACCAAGCCTGTCTGACCATTAAGATGAGGAGAGTTAGCCTGAGGAACAGGTGGCACTGGTGGCCAGGTCTGGTTTACCACGTGGGTCAGGGATGAGGTGGACTTCAGGTTGAAGGTAAATGAAACAGTTGCAAAAAGTATCAACTGTTGTGGTGATGTAAGCGACAACTCTTTATGAGTGTGTGTTATTATTGTATCTCTGCAATGCGCTAAACATAAGGTGCACCACACACTTCTAGATCTACACGTCAACACTTACACCTACCAACGCAAAGTTTTCAGGACGATTGCGATATTTTCTCAAATGCAATAAACCAATTAAAAGTTAATGTCTATTATGGTTATACAAAGACAAGATAATATAAACCATCCCAAAACACTTGCCGATATGTTTGGTTTGTGCTCTGAGGTAAAAGTGACAGGATAGGATTTGGTCTGTGGAAATCTTTTGTAAAGATTTCATACTGGACTGTCCCTCAAACTCAAGCCACGCCATGACCCATTGTTGCTTCCAAAGACAGAACCTTTGTTACTTTTAAACTAAATCACATGCTAACTGAGGACACTTTCCAAGTATTTTTTGTTTCTGAATGCCTACAGAATAACAGTGAACTTTGTCCAGTTCCTTTATTTCTTTTCGTTTTTATCTTATGTCAGAATAAAGTAATTGCCACATATGAAATATTCAACTTTTAGCATATTTCAATTGGCAAACACAAAGTAGAGTCTAATTAATGGTGATTGTTTTTTGGGCAAAAACAAAAGATGAAGCAGTGAATGGTTCTGATTCAGTTGGTAAATCTCAGTGCACATGGTTACTGATCTGCACTATGGCCTATAAACTATTGGTAGCCGTGCACATGGTGTGAAAGAGACCAACACTGTATGGCGAGGTATCAGTGCATCCAAACCTTTGCCATACTCTCCTAAAGCATAGGTGGTAATTACAGCAGGTATTGGCAAAAAAAAAAAAAAGAAAAAAAAAACGCTGTCAGAACCAATGGGACAATGAGAGTATGGTGAGCAAGGCAGTGACAGCGGCAGGAGCAGTACAACCAAGCAACGATTACTAACCCCTCACTCAGCTGGATAAAACTACTGGTCTCCTCAGGGGGGTCATCATCGGGGCTTATATGGGACCAGCTTTCTTCACTGCTAGCACTCAGTGAACGCTTGTCCCTCTTCACTACTGCAGCCACCGCCGCGGCAGACTTGTCCCTCTCACTGGTGAGGAGAGCAAATTGCATGATGGTAGGGACTGTATGTGTGTTAGCTGTAATGGGAATTGGTTTTACAACCTCACCATATATTCATTTTCATATCAAAATCAAGACATAACGTAAGTCGTGTCTTTTCAGGGAACAGATTAAATTCATTCATAAAAATGGGAATAGAGAATCAAGTTCTTTTGACAGGTTAGGGTCAGGGTTAGGGTCTATTTTTATCTGCTTCTCTATGGCTTTAAATAACCCGAATCATGAAACTCCCTACATCCTCTGTGTGGTTACTATCATTTGGTTGATTACTAGAATATGTCTGGTCCACCTAACCAGTATTGATTTGATTCTGTTGTTGATCTCTCTTTAACACTGACCTGTTTTGTTTGGGTGCAGCTCTTTCAGTGTGTTTTGACGTTGACACGTCTCCTGGTCTTTGTTGTAGTCTTCCTTTGGACCTTTCTTGGTTCAATACATTTTCTTCATCCTTCTGATCTCCTTCAATGTGGATTAGTGGTACATCTCTAGGTCCTCGCGTGTAGGTGGCATTGACGTCATGACCCGATGATCCGACACTGGGTCCAGCTTGCTCCTGGCTGGTTCTACTTTGAGTACAGCTGTGATGAGATTGTTTGAACCCCCTCCTTCTTTCACCAACAGGAAGTGGGTGAGATACAGGCAAACCCCCAGCCACATCTTGCTGGGCTCCCAGTGCAGACCTGCCCACATCTACTATGTCCGCTGCCAGGCGATTGGCAAACAGCTGCACGTGAGGCTGGGATTCACCATGAGCTTCTAGGTCGACACTGTCCTCTGGTTCAGCAATGATTTTGTTCTTTCTCATCAGTGATTCAATAGAGTTTGTCCAAGTATCGTGAATCAGCATATCCGTAATCTGGTCAGTTTTACCCTTTTGATAGAGGCAGGAGTCTGACTTACACAGTCCCAAGAATGACACCGATGGCGTTGGATAGATGCTTAATGTATCCCCATGCACATTACGAGCAAATCCATCAAAAGAGTTGGCCTTTACAGGTGAACTGACAGATAGCCGTGAGTCAGAGGAGCGTCGGTCTGGGACGGAGGACTGACGAATGCAGAAAGGTGTCCGAGGAGAAGGGGGGAACAGACTGTTGCTCCATTCCTTAGTCCTAGTGATGCCAAAGTCTTTGTTTTCCTTATCCATGTCCCGGAGCATGAACCTGTAGAACTCCTCTGTGATACTCTCTGTGCTGGACTGTTTGGACAGACAGGCTGAAGCCCTGACGTTGAGGTGACCATTTTTCTTTGAAGCGGCCTGTTGTACAGCAGCAGTTAGAATGTTGCTAGCATTTTTGCCTGCATAATAGTCTAACAGAAGATCAAAACCCCTGCCCTCGGTCTCCATTTGGTTAACCATGAACTGAGAGAACTCATCTGTGATGCTCTCGCAGCTGGACTGCTTAGAGATTGAACTACCACGACTCAGATTCTGACCTAACCGACTGTTGGGCCCCAGTGTGCTCTGAAAGCCCGAGGAGTCTGTATCTTCTTCTGGAATACTCTCATAACTTGATGCCTTCCCACGGCTCCATCTGTCACACTGCAACCTGCTGCGTGGCTGTCCAGCTTTAGACGTGTCTACTACATTAAGCTCAGGGCAGTTCATGATCCTGGCTGATACTTCTGAGGCAAACAGGGCAAATGGGTCCTGGGGTTCATCAAGATTTACTGAATCATCCACCACCCGGTTCACAAGTCGCTCCATCAGTTCTGGTTGCTCCTCTGTTTTTTTCTTGATCTCACTGAGGCGTGGCGCCCGATGTTTTTTGGAGGCAGTGTTGTTGCCCTGTGACTCTTTCCGCCTGAACACCCTGCGGCAGGCTGGTATTAAATAGCCTTCTACCCCTTCAGTAGTTGCTCCTTTAAGGGCACAGAACCAAGGTTGCTTACCACTAGAGTTCTCCAAGCAGATGGCTGCCAACTCGGTTGCCATAGACACCACTGTGGTAGCCAAATCATCAGCATAACACGTAATAGGTGTTCTAGATTCTGAGTCCATTATTGAAGACATCAGAGAATTACAAGCACTTAAGGAGGACTGGGGTGTTAAGGAGGACTGTCTGCTGTTACCTGCTGTGATAAGACGTCCTCTCATTTCACTCAAAGGTTCTCTGGTGGCACTATTGCCCTGTTGGACCTGCTGGTGGTCAGAGAAGTCCATAGATTGATTTAACCTGACTGATGTCTGCTGCTGCTGTTCTTTGTTACGTGCTGCGAAGAATGATGCAGTGAAGTCACCTTCCAGAACCATACATTTGTCCCTGAGCCCTGGAACCTTTGCTAGTTTATCTGTGCAGTGCAGACTGTCACTGTGGTTCTCAGTCTTTGTAGACTGGCTGTAGTCAGTTAAACACTGCAGCCGAATGAATGGATGCCTGTTTTCCTTTGTTGCTGCACAATTGTCATCCTCTTGTGTCTCAAATGATCTTTGGTCATTGTTGGAGATGTGACTGATTTTCTTCTGTGTCAGACAAAGGATTTCAAAGAGTAAATTGTTGATGCTGTTCTGCAGACCAGACTGTAGGCTCAGAGCGTCTGTGCCATGATCCTGTACCCTGTTGTTTCTTTTTACTTTCTGTAAAGCGTGCTTAAATAGGCTTTCTGCAACTTCATCTAAGAATTCATCCGTGTCTTGTCCTTCTGCACAGGTCTTCTTTGGCGATCTAATGCCATCTACTATTTTGTTATGTGTGACCTCCAACAAGTGGGCCACGCTTTTGTATCCTTGGGGCTGTGTAAGAACCTCCACCACTTCCCTGTGTAGGACCTCAGCTATGTTGGTATGGAATGCTTCAACACTGGTGCCCTCAGTGATGCTGCAGTGCAGAGTGAAGGCTGCAGAGGCCTCAGCAGCAGACAGAAGACCTTGACCTGCTGTAAAGGATTCAGACAAACCAGAATTTTTACCTTCCACCAGCTCTGACTTAATGTCCATAGCAGCTACCACACTTGCTACCTGGGCCATGCTACACAGAGCCGAGGAAAAGGAAAAGTCGTCTTTCTCTCCTGGGCCCTGCTCCTCTTCTTCCTCTGTCTCCTCCTCCTCCTCCGAAGCTGAGTCCATAGTGAGTTTCTCAGTCAGTTGTGGAGTGGTAATAGTTCCAATGACACTGGCAGCACATGCCAAAGCCACCTCCACATGTTTGGATGTAGAAGTGTGGGGAATATAAGCCTTTGTGTCTTTCTCTGGTAGTTCTCTGACTTCAGCTAAAGTCCCCTGGTTAGGGACATGAGACAGCTGAGTCTCTGGCCATTCTGTCCCCCCATCAGAAATGTCTGGGCTCTGGACTATGACAATCTTGGGGAGTTCAAAAGAGCAGGTGCGTTGTTTGGTCTTTGATGAGTCGGGGAAGTGTGACGGAGGACTTGTGGGGGAAACGCTGACAGCAACCTCAGAGACGAAAGAGTTCTCATCTTGAGAGAGGCGTATAAAAGCATCTTGTAGTACTGACTCAGCCAGATTGGTGGCGTAATGACCAGCTGATTCCTTAACTTGGTAGCTGAGCAGCTGTTGGCTTTCTCTTTTGACATCAACATCCTCCCTGCCCTGAGGTTGAGCCACCTGTCCCCTTTGACATGTACGTTTTACACAGTGTTTCTGTGCCATCTCCACCAGGATGTCTGCCAAGTCTCCACTCTGTGACTCTGTGGGGAAGAGAAAGAAAACACAGAGTTCTTCAAATGTCATGGGAGAAAAATACCCGTTTTACGCTTTGTTAAACTTGGTTTTGCTAAACTGTTTGTGTTAATGTTCCTTTACACTGGATTAGTTATGAGTACTAATTAACAACAGTATTGTATATACTGTAACATTATAACATGGTCACTAAAGTCCTGCATACAGTACATGACAAGGAAAAGATCTGAATGAGAAATCATAGCCAACTATTCTACGGAGGGTGGGATGTATAGATCACAGTTTTAAATGTTCAACCTTCAAATCTTAAAGACGACACCTGTTTATTCAACAGTGGCAGTCCGTCCCTGAAGTTAGCTGAAAATGTGATCTTACTTTAATTCAATCTTGTACAATCTTGCTTCATGAAATACAGTTAAAATTGGATTTTCACGTAAATTACTGCACAGTTAGTGAATATTACAGTTTAAGCAAAGGAACATGTGAATCAAGTCTCGCCGTTTCTGAAGCCGTCGTCTTCACTGTCGTCTCCCAAATGTTCCGAAGCTGTTGTGAAGTCCTCCTCTATGGATGAGATGGAGCGATTGGTATCATCCTCCAATCGCTGCCCAGCAGCTCCACCCTGCTGATGCTGATGCTGATGCTCTCTTCCCCATTGTAAACCAATCAGAAACTTGTTGATTTCAAAGATGATTCCTCCAGGTTGGATGGTCTGTCTCTTTCCCCAACACTGAACCAAGCACACACCCGTACTTCTCTGCTGAGCAGAATATTTTCACAAACATGGACATTAGTTTTATTAAAATAAAAGAAGCTAATTCAGAATATAAACCATCAAGGTTACATTGTCATTAATGAGGTCAGGGCAGAACGGCCTTCTTGTCGGTTCTCTTTTTGTTCTATTCTTTTTCATCCTTTCTTTTCTATTCTATACTATACGGATCTATTCTTTTTGTATTTCTGCAGAGTTAAGTCTGTTCTCTTTTGTTCTGTGCTAACACTATTGAGTTTCTCAGCTACTACCCCCCCCACTCCCTCCATGTTCAATATACTATTAACTCACTGTACTTGCTCATGCAAGTTTAATAGTTGGCTGAGTATTGACTGTACCTGTGATTTTATTACCTTGATTTATTTGTTGAAAAACAAAAAGTCCATGAGGAGAGAACAGAGAACAACGTGTTGACGTACGGCGTAAAAGGCAGAAAATGAGGAATATTTATCAGCAGACTGTACACGGTTCTGTCTCAGCAGATCAAGTGCTGTGTGTCTGTGGAGAAATCGTTTTTTTTTATAGGAGTCAAATGAAGATCTACAAATTGAACGCACTTTTATGTGAGTGTTTTTTTTTTACCAAAGTAAAGAACATCTCACACTCTCCTCCTCACACTCCTCCTCTCGGCCACTTATTTCAGAGGCTGAAAATGGCTGAAAGGATTCAAAGACATCACTGCAAACTCACCTGGGGGCGTGAGTGTGGGTGCGTTTGGCAGGAGTCTGAGGCTTCCAGGCCACCGAACAGTAGGATCTCATTTTCTCTGGGCTGGTGGACAGTGAGTAATTCAACCAGCTTTGGCAGATCAGGAGACACGGAGGCCAGTTTCTGTAGGAAAGATGGAGAGGATGAACACAATGCTTGTGTGAGAGCATAAAATCTCTCAAACTTCCTGTGAGAAACCTTGAAAATCTGGAATAATTATTGATCACACCACAGCTGCAGACTGCTGCATATTATCAAAACAGAACAACAGCCTCTGACAATTGATAAGAATCCATGGAAACATACACTAATCTGGGAGGAAATGAGATACGACTCTGAATAGAGAAATAAAAGTGAGTGTAGGTGAAGGACTTTCTCACCTTGAAAATTTTGTCATTGCGACAGTCTGTTTTTTGAGGGTCGAAATTCACAAAACAAATCTGAAATTGTGAGAGAGACACAGCGTAAGTTGCACACCTGATCACAGAAGTTCAGCAGTCAAGAAAAAGAACTTGTATTGACAAAATAAACAAGACAGAAGAGACTGAATATTAAAGACCAGCAGTTGTTGAATGAATAGAGAACTGGTCACTGGTGAAGAATTTCATGAAAAATACTTTTCATTTTCTCTTCAGGTTTAATGGCTTGTGATGGAGTCCTTGTGTCAGTGTGGGGAGTTAGGGACCGTCTGCCAACACACAGCCTCAGATGTGAACTGCCAAGTAAGTTCTGAATGAAATACAGCCATTGTTTCCAATCTTTTTTGGAAACAAGAACATGCATAACAAAACACAATAGAGTAAATAATATAATTTAATAATTGCATAAAAAGTAAATACATGTAATTATTTAGTTACTGTTTTACTGGGTTAAAATGCTGCTTTCTTTATGGTGGCAGTTTTGGAGGGATGAATAAAGTTCAATCTATCAATCCATCCATCCGCCCATCCATCCATCTTCTGCTGTTTCATCATTTGGCCCCTCCCCCTTCCAAAGACCCTCTCCATCAATCCCAGGCCTACTTGACCAAACTCTCACAGGCAGAACTGTCCGTGAACTAAAGCTCTAAGCCAACCTTCACCTCCACCTGACAATCCTCCAGACAAACATGATGTTTTCAGACTTTCACATTAAAGTGGTGACAACTGCTGCTAGAAAATGGAGCCAGTTAAGTGTAAAAAAATGTGAAGTCAATGACAGCTGAAGGGGAGGCTATCTTTGTGTGTGTGTGTTTTGCTTTTCCATGATAGAATGTGTAACATTGATCAAAATACCAATCAACTTTACTTTGCTGTTGTTTGCGTACATTGATTTCATGAAGACACCCATTGGCTTTTCTCGTTCAGGTCAGTGGGGGGCAGCACAGCTACTAAATGTCAATGATAAACACCTACAGTCACTGAAGACAAAGATGGTGACCTAACATGAACACCCGCTGACTCAACATTTTTAACAGCCTTACGGTTCCCTTGGTCTTTATGTCGTGCTGATCGGTGAAATGTTTGTATGTCACAGCTTCAAGCTAACTTCATGAGTGGGAACTCTTGGTCCATGTGATCGATGAACAGCTTGGAGATTATACAGGGAGATTTTGGCAGTAATGCAAGGAAAACACAGAACCTGATGTCTGTGGAGAAGTTGTTTTTGAAACGGTTGAATTCATGTGATCTCGCCAGATGGACAGGAGGCTAATGACCATCATCATTTTCTCTGCCTTCAATCATTCTGGAGAACAATTCAAAACGTATTCTTTTGTAGCCTTATTTATGTTAATATCAAAGCAGAGAGACATTTGGACTGAGCCTCAACTTCTCCATGTCTCCATGTGTCAACACGCCTGGTTCTTACAGCTCACTGCATCACAAAACAACAGTCTTTTCTGTGGGTGGTCAGTCGGTCTGTCACAGAAGCAGCCGAACCAACAACATGTTAGGTGGAGGTTCTTACTGGTTCTCAGGCATCAGGTCACATGGGGGTCAACTGGACGGAGAAGTTGACTTCCCAGTAGTCAGTCAGAACTGAAGAAGTCTTCAGAGGTGAAACGTCTTCAAAAACAAAAACCTACTCCGTCCAGTCGAACCGCCCTGTAGCTATTTTAGGATTTGTTTTTTACAAATACATAAAGTAATTTTCTTTGTATTATCGTTACTGCTTTAACTGCTTCTACTACAACTGCCCTCACTGCTAGTACAGCTTCCGTTAATATTAAATACTTAATAATTATTAGGGATGCACAAATACTGATATCAGTATTGAGACCCATACTTCATTCAAATACTCGTACTACTATAATAGTATTGGGACAGCACCACTAATCATAGTATGTATTAAAAAGAGTTTTATGAAGATGAGCAGAGATGGAGATTAGATGATTTATACCAGGGATCCTCAACTCCCTGTCTCTGGATAATTTGGTGCCAGGTTGTAGTGGGACACAGTGGAAAATTTATTTTATTTTCCCTAATTTACTTCATTGAAAGAGAATCCACTCACTGTTTACTTTCTTCATATAAAGATAATCTGACAATGTTTAAAAACAATGTCACTGAGACTGAAATACTAACAGAAGTCTGAACAATGTTTTATTTTGAAACTTTAATGATTCTAAATGATAATTCAACAACTGGTAAGCAGAGGCCGACAGGTCCTTGGTACAAGTCGGGTACTGCTGGTTTATACCATGAAGTCATTGTATTTTCCTAAACCAATTTGTTATAAATAAATCCTGCATTTCTATAATATCAGGTGATAAGTGTGTCTATTGTAACAATTGAAAGAAAGACTTTTATTTTGCTAAGCTAACCCTTCTTAGCATCTTGGGCCACAGACGGCACCATTTTCTGGTTGGTATTCAGCAGAGAAGCAGAATCAACTAAAATACCTGTGTCTGAAGATCTGGTCTGTCAGAGTAGGAGCTCGTGACGTGGCCAGAACTAACAGCTATTAAATCATCAATGCAACTCAGAGCCTAAACAAATACAAATTACACTAATTGTTTTTGTCTCTCCTCGTGGCCACTTTTACTAAAAGTCTCCCTGTCTGAGCCACAGCTGAACAAAGCTGAAGAAAATGAATAGGAAACACAGTCAGTTATGTTTATATGAGAATGTGAAGATCTGAAGAACTGCCCTCAACATGAGGAAGTTTTATCTCTGCTGCGTGCAGCAAACTTTACTTTGACTCTCATTAGTTGCTAACCACTTTAATTTCAATCCATTTCAAGTTTAATTTAATTCTCATGGAGTGAAGTCAGCATTCCCAGCAGGGCTGTGGCCTAATGGTTTTATAGTTCTGTCATGGAGACCGGGCAGGTTCGCTGCTCTCAACGTAAACAGTCTCATCGTGGGTTCGTAAATCAAAGTACCTGCTGATAAAAGAGCACTGTTATCACAGCCATCCTTCAACACTTGATCCCAGTGAACATTTGGACGTGAGCTGCTCATCAACAGCACTGAGGCCAGTGAGCGTCAAGGAGCTGCTGTTTATCAGGTTCTTTTCACGAGAACTACTTTCAAAAACATTCACAAATATGTGTGTCTTTGTGTGTGTGTGTGTGTGTGTGTGTGTGTGTGTGTAGTCGTTTCTCTGTGCATTAGTGCCAGTTTGTCACACCAGAGACAGGGATTATGGCCAGACAGAGTGGGTTAAAGACACTCTGGATGGTCCTGGTATGAAAAGGACGATCGTCTGAAGGTGTGAAGCCTCTGTCGTCCTTAAAACGCTTACATTTAAATGTGTTCTTGTCACATTTGGAGGAGTGCTAAGTCATAGGTTCTCACTCAATTTTTTTTCCTGCCTGTGAACATTAGGACGAATTAATTTACTTTTAACCAATGACGAGTGCCATTGACCGTTTCCTAGATATTATTGTAGGGCCACATTGACACATTTAAAGCTTGTATTTATTTGACCATAGCCAAATGAAATACAATTACAAATCAAAATAAAATTACAAAATCACATCCTGTGCAGGATGTGATTGGCTATAGTTGAACCCACAACCATGTGAAGGAGATGGATGGATGATAGTACTGCTCTTACATCTGAGCAGAGAACTGTAAGATGCTCATATTGTAGCAACCGTGTATCTGATAATGAGATTTTTTAATTGTGACCCATGGATACATGGACTTGGTTTTAATCTCCTATTGGAGCCGGGGGCTTCACCTGGATTATCTCCACGACTTGCTCTTCATCAGACAACACACTCTCCTCCTCCCTTATTAATATTCTCTCTAAGGAGTGAAGCTTGAAAGCTATTCATGCTCAACTTGCTCCTTAATATGTGATTCAGTGATCAGAGGTGACACCAAGAGTTGGCATAGGTGCCCCCCTCCCCCTCTCCTACCCCTGCTGCATCATCTCCCACTTTAATGTAATGATTAATTTGATGATTACAGTGATCAGAACCCCCCTGGTAAATGTCCAGGTCTGTTTTAATATGTCAGACATGACCATGCTGCGCTAACTACCGTCACCTCTGTTTATCTGTGACAGTTGAGATACAACGATGACACACTTTGATATGCTTTAAAGGCAAAGTGCCAAAGATGTTTCAAAAGAGTATTTATAAAAAAAAATGAATAAATAACATAAGCTGAAATGATGAAATTGTGCAAGTAACTAACAGAATAACAGGTGACATGATCCTGTGAAATTAACATGTGTATAGACTGTGTAGTAGAGCAACCCATATACATACAGCACAGCCTATAATAATACTGCATAAGGCTGAGTAGAAAAAAAAAACAATTGCTCGTTCATTACGACAGTAACTGCATGTCAACATCCTGCTGTCCAGCCAAAGAAAAAATGTGGTTTTGATTTCATTTTATTTGAGTGTCCGGGCCCTGGGGTGCTTGTCCACAAAGTTTCTGCCCCGCCAAAAAAAAAACCTTAGAAGACAATACAAATCTCTGGCTTAACTAAAATGAAGTAGAACAAACACTTTATTTGAAATCTAGTCAATCACTTTTTTAATAATTTTAAAGTGAAAGTAAAACTGCACCACCAGTAACACATTTCAAGGTTTGTCCTGTGTGCAATATTGTTCAATTTGTTTACACAAATAAATAAATATGGCAGAAAAACCTCTGCCTCTATCCATTCATTCATCACCTATTTCTTTGCAGACCCACAGGGGGCGCTGGAGCTGTCACCTCAGAATATATGAGCATTATCAGCAGCCTACAGGCAGCACTGCCGTAGAAACAAACTGCAGTTATTTTTCAACCCTCATGAGACTAAAGGACGCAGCGTGAAGAAAAATCCACTTGCTGTTATTTCATGCTAATACCTTCTGCACTTTAGATGTTTTTTTCCCATTGTTGTCACTGGTGCTGAGAGTGTGTCTCTAATGTTCTACTCACCGTGGTGCAGCTGCCCTCTGTGTCGTCGTCCAAAAGCCCCAGTCTGCACAGCGTTTTGTCATTCTTCAGCCAGTAGTCGGACGAGTCCAGCACGCTGTTACTGCACAGCACCTGCGAAAACGCAGAAAAACTCTGACTACTGACCCAATGAATACACACACACACACACACACACACTCCTGAATCACACATTCCCCTTTCATTTGCCTCTGCTAGGATCAATTGACCTTTCTAGCAAAGGCTTGACTTGAAGATCAGTGTCTGCAGCACGGGATCGATACGGTGTCAACTAACCAGACACTGAACATTATATATTCACTGTGTGATGTGTGTATGAGACAATGGACAGTTACTCTCTCCTCCCTGGAGGGGCACTGTAATGACATCAATTTATATGAGACCTGCAGACCAACAACTGCGTCTCTCAGTCAGATGCAAATGTGTTTTGACTGATTGTTCTGTCACACTACTCTACAGTCACAGACTATTGACTTTCCTGCTCTAGTAGCCTTCTGTTTTTAGATTTTTTTTTTATGCTTAGATTTGTGTCCGAGATTGATTCTATTACATTTGAATATATATTTAACCAGTATGGAGTGTTTGTGGATGTTGAGCAGCAGGACTCAAAAAAAGAAAAAAAGAAATGGGTTTTTAATACAATTTCTGTTCCTACAGGTTACAGCAGTAAAACAAATTATGTCAGGCACCAGAAGATGGTGCGGATGGGAGATGTACCATATGGTACTGTGGACCAAGGCAGTCTGAGGGAAGGACACTACGACAGAAAACCACTGGTCCTCCAAGTATGGGGGTTGGGCAGGAGGCTACCGACCTTCTCCTGTTACAGAGACAACGTATCGTAGTGATGATGTCCAAGCCTTGTGTGCCTCCTGGCACAGAGATAATTAGGCTTAGGCTAAGCCAGAAGATAAACGGCTGCCATCATTGCACCAGAGCAAGTAAAAATATCAATGATGATGTGGTTCTTGCCACATGTGAAGAGTGTGGCATGTGCAATATTCTCTGGAAGTGCATTTTTATTAACCAATCACCATTGCCTTTTGTTTGTGCTCTCTGGAAGAGGCCATCTGTCCAGGCCCTGGGCCAAGTAAAGGTGATCAGCTGATCTCTCCTGCTGAGATCAGACCCAATGTAACCACGGCTCAGCAGCAGAACCTCAACTGCACTACAACAAAGTCGCCACCTTGTATCTCTACAGGCGGCTGGAGCTGAAGGCAAGTCAAATCACCAGTGCTAGGCTAATTAGGAACCTACACCTCCTGCACACACACACACACACACACACACACACACCAATAAACCTGCAGACTGTGAAAGGAAATTCAACCTGGCCTCCACCTCAGCCCAGTGAGTTGTGCCCCTGCAGCCCCCCTTTCCTTATTCTTGTAGACAAATCTACTGGGATGAGCTGTCCTTCTTATTAAACATATGTTTACTGTAGTCGGGCGAGAAAACAAAGAGTAAGAAACAAGTCCTGTTTTCACCTTCTTACAGGCGCTGATGGATGAAGCCACGGTGCTGCCAGTGCTGCCGCCCTCCTCCTCCTCCTGAACACACTCTGAGCCTTCAAACATGGCTGTCGACTGAAAGTTACTGCAACACATAAAAGGTACAGAGTGATTGGACATGAAAGGGTCTGAAAAGTTGCAGAGGTAGAAAATGAAGGAAAAAAAACGGAATGGTTGGTATTTTTTTTAAATGACATTGGATCTGCCAGAAATAAAAGGAAATGAATGATTTGTTTTCATCTGGTTCAAATTTATGGCAGAGAGAAGAGGCATGAAAATGTTCTGGTTGTTTTTCCTAATGAACTTCAGGCAGATGGTAATTGCTGCTGAATGTGCATGACATTTGAGTCCTAAAAAGGATAATGTAACAACCTGCAATAGCAGTGATGTAAACATAAATGCACCGTGTTATATGTGTAAATTGGATCAAGACAAGGCAAAAAACAAAAAAAACAAAACAAAACAAAAAAAAACTGTTTAAGAACAGTTTGGATTCTGAGTATCCACAGTTTCTGAACAATTAAATACTGTATTACTTTAAATAACAGCTGATGTGACCCTCTGCTAAGAAGTCCTCTGTCAACATTTTTATTCAAAAGGTCTCTTGGGCTTTCTTTATTTTTCAAATCTTAAACTAGCTAAACTATATATATATATACATATATTCATACATTTATGCATATATACAGTATTTTTTATATACTGTATATATATGTATATATATTTCAAAGCTATTTGTGGTAAATGTAGTTTATAAAATCAAAGAGCGATGGGAGGAGGGGGGCTTCAAACCTCAAACTGTCCAGAAAACTTAAAATTATATTTAAATAGACAAATGTTTACAATGCCATTGGAGCGAGCTCCATGAAATTGACCCAAATCTCAAATGTTAATCCACACACACAGACACATACACACCCTCACACACACACACACACACACAGTGATGCTGTAACCATGCAGAGAATTGGAAGCAGAGAGAGTTAATAATGAACATCCCAGTTCACTGAAGAACATGTGAATGTGTTGAATGATTTTCGGTCAAAAACTGAGGAATATTTTTGTTTACATATATCTGCCCGGGAGGGGGCAGAGTCGTGTGTCTGATCCACACAGAGTGTGTGTGAGGTCACAATAAACCTCTAAACGGAGTGGATTTAAAGGACCGACCCGGGGTTACTGCTGCCATTGACTCTCTCTCTCTCTTTCTCTTTCTCTCTCTCTCTCTCTCTCTCTCTCTCTCTCTCTCACACACACACACACACACACAGACACACTCAATGAAAAGTTAAATCCCTTAACTAGAGAAAACCACAACGAAACGAAACTCAAAAATCACTGTTTGTTTATCGTTTATCTTTACCGTTTGTTTATTTTTATCGTTTATCGTTCTTTATTCATCTAACCCCAACCCATCACACAGTCGACTGCAGTTTAAAGAGCGACTCTGTCTGTGTACAACGCGAGTTGATGTTCAACACATAAACAAACAGGTTATGAATCAAATAAATTACCATTTTCTCCAAAAACGCCCCCATTTGTGCTACTAGAATTATGCGGCAGATTTTTCCTCCATCCCGAGAGAAGCAGCAGTCTCTTACCTCGGTGTTTTCAAGAGACACTTAGCTCCAGCCATTCTGTCACAAAAGAACAAAAGTGTCCACCGATGACGCGTTTATCTCCTCTCTGGTCGCCGCAGCACATGCACAGGGAGAAGTGTGCTACTTGTCCTCGGGACGCTGGACGCTGGTCCGCATGTCCGTCTTTCCTGAGTGAGCACTACTGAAATCCCAGAATGCTCCTCCTGTTACTGGGAGAGAACTAGTGAAGAAATGACTCCCACTGCGCCCCCCCCCCCGCCCCTCTTCACCAACACGCTAATAAGCTGCACGACGCAGTGAGAGTGTGGAAACGTAAAGTGAGCGCGCGTATTGACGCACGGGCATGTGTATAAACAGAGGCGTGCGTGTTTTTACGTAGTTACCGTATTACAGACGAAAGTTAAAGATATAGTACACGATATGTCCTTTAAATCACATGAAACAACCTTGTCAAAATGATTTCAGGTAGATTCATCGTTCATGACACGTGACCAGTCAATCATTGATTGTGAGCTGATTGTTGTTTTCTCCAGTCCTAATATTTTGTGATAGTGGAAAGATAAAACAGCTAGGTGGCAGTCACACAACTTAAAGCTGCTCCAAAGGAACAGTTGGGTTGGTTAAACTTGACAGAGCAAACTCAAAAGTTCTACTTAATATTTTTGTTTTGTCATGTGCAGTTCCCCTGTGCATTAAATCATCTGTGTGGGAATATTTTTGCCAGAATGGGAAATTGACCAGATGTCGTGGTGGATGACAATTTATTTAAATCATGCTGCACACCACCGGTAGTTGTGGTTTAATGGTTATGCAAGCGGACTTGGGTCCAGAAGGCTTCAGGTTCAAGTCCACCTGCTGCCAAGTTACCATAGAGGTGTTTTGAGCATGGCACCATCCCCACACACTGCTCCCCAGACAGCTTAAAGCTGGAGATAGGGTATTAGCAGAAGTCACATTTGGTTGTGTGCAGTGGTGTCACAATGACAAGGAGTTCACTTTCTTTTTTCAACACTATAATCTCCGGTTGCGCCCCCCCCCCCCCCCCCCCCCCCACATGCTCCTGGATAAAGGACTTCCTCACTAACCGTCCCCAGACTGTGAGACTGGGTTCCCACCCAGACACTGAGCGTTGGCACCCCACAGGGCTGTGTGCTGAGCCCCCTCCTGTACTGTCTCTACACCCCCGACTGCAGTCCGGTCCACAGCGACAACCTCATCATCAAGTTTGCCCTCTACCCTCCCTGATGGATATTTACACCTCCCGCTGCCTCAACAGAGCCAATACCATCATCAAGGACAGCTCACACCCTGGCTATGACCTGTTTAACCTGCTGCCCTCTGGTAGACGATACAGGTGCATTAAAACAAGGACAAATAGATTCAATAACAGCTTCTTTCCTAAAGCTGTAACCTGAACTCCCATATGCACTGACCAGACACTCTCCGGCTACCAATGTATCCAGTTACAATAATCTGTACATTACACTGTCATATGTGCAATTTCAATCACGTGCAATAGTCCATTCCACTGGACAACATACATGTGCAATATGTGTCACCACTATACCTACCTCCATGTTTATTTTTTTACCTAGACTCTCTTTATATTTATTTTCTGTATATAATTTAACTTGCTTTCTTCTTTCTCTTTTTTGCACTAAGACTGCTTCTTGCACTGCATTAGAAACGGCTACAATTTCGTTGTACTGAAAGTATAATGACAATAAAGGTATTCTATTCTATTCTACACATATTGGGTCATATAGTTGGTAATGTAATTATACTTTGTATGATTGTCTTTACAGACAGATGGAGCTCCTGTAGCCTTTCACATTTGTTTTCTCTAGGACAAATACATGGAACAGTTTTATTGTTTACACAGCAGTGATGATTTCTGTTTCTGTTCAGGACCTGCAGAGTTCATGTGAATTTACACATTTATAGTGTTGTATAATCAATGAACGTATACATAATACATAATAATCCTGATAAATTCTCGAACAATAATCCTACCAAGGAAATCTATAATCGTGACTTCCCTACCCTGGACAAACATGTGCCTGTGTTCTTTGAAATATTTTCAACTCTGAGGGAAATCGCTTTTTAAATCTGAAAACAGTAGAGGCGCAGTAGCACTTTTTAGTTTTGGTGCTTTCTCAACACACCACAGTGCTGAAGATTTGCACCAGCAGTCCTCCAGATAGAAAACCAAATCCATCTGCTGCCCCCTGGCCTAGCTGTCAGCTTGATATGGTTATTTAAACAATGCATTTATACTGGTATTGGTTATTGACAGGAAAAGTGATTCCATCCGTGACATTTATGTAATAGTTTGCTACTGTAGTTATTGTTTTAAATAATTTACTTTGTAAGTTCCAAATATATTTGGGGCAGAGAGAAGCTCACCTCTGCCATTCTAGATTGTGCTCTTCTTATCTAGGGTTTACGGTAACTCTCTCCTCTGTGGCCAAATGAAGAGGTCATGTTTGAAAGAAACCGCTCCATCACAGGTGACCTTCACTTCTTCATGAACTCACTTTCACAAGACTTTCAGGGAGATACAGAGAATTTTATCAACCTGGACGTTTGTTAGTGGTTTATCTTCATGATTCTCTTCTTTGTTTGTTTTTGTTTTTTCATCAATGCTTCAATGCTGCTCGAGGGTTAAATTTCTACACAAAGACTTTTAGTTAGAAAGTATTCTACAGCAGGGGGCACCGCTTACATTTGTGGCAGGGACAGATTGTTTCTGGACAGACAACCTTGTGGCTGGAAACTCAAATCCAATGAAATCAAATTCTATTATCTAACATTATTATTGGATGTTTATTTTGGTGTTCAGTTGCAGCTGGATTGACCATTTTGGCTGGCTTCATTCGGCCCGTGGGCCACTATTTGATAGAGTAGTGGCCCACTACTCTATCAAGAGTATCTATCGAGATCTATCTATCAAGAGTATCTATCGATAGATAGATCTTTATTCTTGTTTATTTACTGTTGTTTATACATTTACAATTAAACATGTAGTTGTCCATTTCATAGTCAATGTGTTATCACTGAAAAAAAAGATAATAATAATAATAATAATAAAAAACAAAGACTCTGTCTTATACAAACAGACAGCCACTCTGGACCAAAGTCACTCTAACAGGAAGCATTAATGTTTATTGAAGTGACCCGTCCAGGTGGCACATGTACTAATTTCGTTTCTACTTTCTTCTGACAGTAATTTCTGCCCCCGGCGTACAGAGCATCAAAACATGCCGTTGCATGAAGTCTCACTGTTTGCCAGAAGAGTTGGTTGTAAGAGAGCATCAACCCAGCAGCCTTAACTGTGTCTTCATTATTTGCTGGAATCAAAGGATCAAAGGAAGGAGCACAGCCACAGCCTGACAAATGAGCTCCACCATTTTGATGTTTTAACAAATCCATGAGATTAACTGAAGGATTAGAACTGGATCTCAACCAACCGGACCATTCTACTGCTCTCGTCTGAGATGAAATTGAGCCACCAGGGGCAGACCTGGAACTGGAGCAGACTCAGCAGTAGAGTCCTAGAGGGCGCAGGGTAAGCTTCCATGATTATTATCTCAGGATGCACTTGAGGCTTTTTCACTTGGGTTGTAAAATGAAGCCAGAGGTCAGACCAAGGTCAGGAATTAAAAGGATACATTTTAACAATGACCACACTTCTTATTCTGCACTTGGCTTTTATTCCAGTTGTATTTAGCACCATTCATGTTTGTGGGCTTTTAACCCCTGCATGTTATTGTTTTGTGCAACAGAAGGAAATCATACTTTCATGTTCATTCCAGCTGATCAATAGGAGACAAAAATAGAAATGCATTTCTGCACTACAAGCATGGCTCAAAATAACACATCTGCTGCAATTATCCTGACGGACTGAGCCATGACAGGAGGAGCAGACAGACTTTAGCTTGTCAGCACCTTGATGAGTGCAACTCAGGACTATTATTCTCACCCACACATGTATTGCTTCCCACTGTTTTAGTGTTAGCTTCTTAAGAGATTTGCCAAGAAAACCATTGTGAGCATCATAACATGTTTACATCCAATAATAAGTACTGTATATTATGTTATTAATAACAAGACAAATCTAAAAAACTTGATATTATTGAGTCAAGAGTGCTTTTCTAAGAATCCTCACGGCTCATGGTGCATTTAACATTCAAACTTGGTGTGCTGGAGTCCAATGGTTTTGAAGATTCCAACAGTGAATCATTTCGCAACAGATTGCAGGGTTTCCAGCTCGTTGAAATAGTTTTTACAGTCGCGTGGCAACCACCTTTTTTTTCATCAAAGAAATCGATAGATTAATTAGAAACAACAATAAAATCAATGTTGTACCTGAAATGCACTAAAAGCTGCACAAATGTCAAGGACATGAGATCAAGTGGAGTCAAGATCCGCTAACGATTGGGCTCAAACATACACTAATGGTCATAAAAATAAATACCATCCTACTCTGACTCCCTGTTGCTTTTCAAACCATTTCTTTTCTCTCCTCCTCTCCCAACACCTCCTTCTTTCTTCTCCTTCTGTTGCCCTCCAGATATCTCCATCCTTCTGGAAGAGGCAGACTTATTCATTACACATTTCCCTCCAATGAAAAGCTAAAGTAGAGATGAAAGCAGCCCCTCCTCTCATCAGCAGAGAGGAGATGTGATGAAGCTGAGAGTGTAAAATCAAAGAGCCAAAATGAACAAGAGTGAAAACGGACTAACTCTTCTGTTTTATTCCCTTTTTACCTGCTGACACCATGTGAAAAATCTGAGGTGATGAGGAAGAGGATGCCATGAAAAAAGGTATTTATAGAACTTCAGGATGTGTGTGTGTGTGTCTGGCACTTGGTGGGTTCATAGGGAAACCTCAGTCAGTAAATCAGTAAAGATCCTCTTACAGTGTAACATGTCAGTCAGCTCAGAGCCTGACTGCAGTGAGCTCAGCCCAGGAACCACATCACAGTGTTTTAAATACTGATCTGAGGATTATTACTCAGATTAAATGAAATAATCTTCAAATCATCAACCTAAATACAGCCAGTACACACTTTATTTACGTTATTGCTCAAAAATAATACTTTTTGTTTTACATTGAAATGTCTTATTTTGAATTTAATAGATTGTTTTACAACTCCAGCATGAATCCCCAAAATTGACACAGAATGCCAGACAAACTGAAAGCTGAAATAACCAAATACTAACATCCCTGATTAAAATGAACCTAAAACATTAACAAAATAAATAAAATAAAACAAAAGTGCAATTTTATAAATGACAAAAACAATCAGACAAGGTCGGGTCCAATTTCACCTTAAAGATAAAACCAATAAATCAGCATCATAGGAGGAGGTGGAGCCAGGACCAGATGACATATGGTGAAAAAGTGGACACACACACACACACACACACAGGATGTTATTCCACAATATCCAGTTATAAATAATTCAATAAAAAAGTTGGAGCTGATCCCAGCAGTCACAGAGCAGGACACTTCAGCAGTCCATGCCAGGACCATAGCTCTCTCTATCTCTCTCTCTCTCCCCCCCCCCTCTCTCTCTCTCACACACACACACAGTTAATTATTATTATTATTAAATTTAATACAAATGCATTGAATCAACAAATGGCCATTAGTCAGGCTGCACTGTACCAGCCAATGACCAACAGGCTTGACTATAAGGATCAAGCTTTAAAAAACAGCAAAACAAAACCCTATAAACAGTCTCCACACTGAGCTGGTGAAGTGGCCGAGTCAGTTCAGTTCAGTTCAGTTCAGTACAGTTCAGTTCAGTTCAGTTCAGTTCAGTACAGTTCAGTTTAGTTCAGTACAGTTTAGTTCATGCAGACATGGTCTACAGGGTGGATGTCACTTGTAGAAGATATTAGTGAAGGCTGATGGGTGACACAGCGCTGTTGGTGGTGACAGATGTATGCCTGCCTGCAGTTAGGGTTGGTAATGATAATAAGTAAGGTTTAATGTGGATGGTTACAACATGTTTGTAAGTTTGAGACCTTTACAGACGCCCACTAACTTTTGTGTTCATTATGATAAATAACAAGGTTGTAATAATGTCAGTAAACAGTAGAGGTGCACTTGTACATTTGTATCACTGCTGGATTAGAATAATAGCTTGATTAACACATGCCCCTCGTAGATCCAAAATTAGCCTTGTTTTAGCCCGAGCCCACACAGCTTATTCAAATCTATGACGGTGTCGACAGTGTGGCTGTGTGTGGCTATGGATAAAAGATGAATTAACTGAGTAAAATAGGGACCATAGTCAAACATCAGGAGCGGGTGAGTGGAAGCTACTGCTGACTCACTCTCTTTGTGTCCCCCTTCTGGCTGATTTACATAACACTTTTCTCCTCTTGTTTTGTTGTCATAATGTGCTCTTATGTTTCACTGAACCCACACTGTCTGTTCAATATTCACAGAAGTGCAGCCTGACTTTTCTTTTCTTTTATTATCCAAACTTTTTTTCTATAGTCCTAAAAATGAAAGCTGTCAATCATCAAAGTTCAAGCATTAGAAACATCAATGATCACATGCTTCACAGCAGAGCTGCTAGGCCTCCAGCAGTTGATGGAATGAACACACACACACACACACACACACACACATGCGCAGTGATTGTGTCCTGAACTGGAATTCAAGATTCAGGATTATAAGATTGTAATTAAATAACCTCTGTTAAAATAATTGATAGAAAAGCCACAACTAAAAAATGCCAACATTAGGGTTTGGCAGCAAAGCGTGCAGAGCTAAAGCTGAACCAGATATTGTTCCATTTGTAATGGAATGGATACAAACATAACGTGTTGAGGCTCCACAGTGAGCTCACCACCCAGAAGGAAGGAGAGACCAGGGCTAATGTTCTGATTGGTGCACTTTACTGTCCATGTAACTGCAGGAGCTGTGATTTGCTGTCACAGAGGCTGGTTCTAGAATGCTCTTATTTTAGCCTGTCTGTGTTTCCATCCATCCTGTTGCTTTTAATAATACAGACTATAAAGAAAAGAGAGAGAAAAAAAACATGAACATAACTACTGACTTTACTAATGACACAGTACTTAAAAAATACTTCAAAGTATTTTTAGGAAAATATCCACTATGATCTAAAATACTACAATATTCTTTCAAGTATGCAATTGAGCTGAGGATTGTTGCGGTAATGAAACACAAACAGTTGCATAAAAATAGTAATTTTAATAGATTTATTTTTGAAAGGATTTAAGAGTAAGATTAAGAACAAATAAAAATGGAAATGATTAGTCATCAGCCAGTTTGCATAATTTGATAAAATCCAAATTAAAGATTTCATTGATTGACAGACCTTATCAATACATTTTGGTGGTCATGACATCACTAGTGTATATTCACTACTGTTGAACTGCTGTGACCTAAGGTTTAGGTGTGATCGGGCTGCTTTTTATTTTATTTCCAAATGATTGAGTCTGTGTTGATGAGACTAATGAGGATGTGTTTATTTTGACCCTGAATTATCTTCACCCCTCCCACAACACACTCACACCTGCCCCAGGTGATTCAACCAATGTAGTCTCAATGCATCTTCAGCAGTTGTTTCTGATTTGCCCAGTTTTCCATCTCTGTTTTATTGGCAGGTTTTTTTAACAATCAACAAGAAGAACATATTTTGTGATTTGCTATTATTCACGAACATTCACATCCTAAATATACACACATCAATTAAACAACAAATGTCAGCTCCTGGATTCAAACTGCAGTCATTCCCTCAAACACAGCTGCTGCCGATATCAGAAAACAACAAACCAATTGTTTCCATAATATAACAGAAAACACACAATGTCCTCCTTTCTATTCAGCACCTTTGGAGTAGTGGTGACTTAGGGTTAGGGTTAGGGGTTAGTGGTTAAGGAAGCGGACTTGGGTCCGGAAGGCTTCAGGTTCAAGTCCACCAGTTGCCAAGTTACCACTGAGGTGGTAACTGAGCACCGTCCCCACAAACTCCCCCCAGGGGGATTAAAGCTTCCCCCTGCTGACTGTGATAATGGGTTAAAGGCAGAGGTCACAGTTGGTTGTGTGTGCACTGGTTTCCTTCTCAGTGAGCTGGCTTCCATTAGTACTTCATGGCCACCTGACTGCAGGATCAGTCCCAGGGTAGGCACTTGGTGCCTGGCTTTTCATTTTTCTTCCTGACCCAAGCCTCAGAGGAACACCAGTTTGATCCTTAATGATAAATTGGGGCAATTAAGCTTTGCAATCACACTGGGACTGGAAACACATGTTGATAGGGCAGAGAAAAGAGTGAGTCCCCCCATGTGGATGGAGATAAAAATTTTAAGTGGCATTGGGGGCGGCTGTTTTTTTCATTATGTGGCAGGACGGAGAGTACAGAGCCATTAGCTACCAGGTGGTATAACATGACCTGATCTAATGTGGAGCTACACAGATGATACCTGAAGACTACAAGTATAAAAAAAATACTCTGATGATGACTGATGAAACTAAACTAAACATTTCAAAATATCAGGCAACAAATCTATGCTCTAAAATGGTGTTGCTGAAAACTCAGTTTGACAGATTGTTTGGAATTTTCGTCTGTTTTGGAGAGGAGAAAGAATTCAGTCTAAAACATGAACTACAAATTAGACATCGTCGTCAATCAAGTCTTTTTTTATGTTCATTCTTTTCAAAACATTTTCGACCCCTTTATTATTTTCCAGTTTTCAATGTTCAACTTTGAAAACGTCAGTATTTTCTGTATATGCTGTTTGTTCAGTAGCTAAAGAGAAGCGCTGGACTTACAGTTCAGTGAACGTCTGCAAAAGAGTGAACAGTGTTGAGAACATCTTCAGTCCAATTGTCGTCCTTCGCCACAGATGCTAATTTATCGGCACAGGTTGTTGACCTGCAACACACAAAGACAGGCTGCTCATTATACAGACACAGAGGACGCACACTACACACACACCATCATCAGTGTCAGAACACAGGAAGTGACTGGTTGCCTGGTGGAAGCATAAATATTCACTCACACTCTGATTTTTGTGTTCAGTGCCTGACAAACAGAACCCTGGTCTTTAAAAGACTAACCATAACCCAGAACTGCCATTAAAATGATCCAGAGTTGTATTTTGTCTTTGTCTTTGTCTTATTGGGTCAAAGGACTGGTAAAAAAAAATATAGTTGAAAAATTATGTGAATTAACAGGGGAACAAAGGCCACACTCCAGACCTGCAGGGGGCAACCATGTGCAGGAGAGGTGGAACCCAAACTAGGAACTCTAGTTCCCAGAGGAACCTGGTCACCATGTGCACCTAGAGGAAGCAGAAGTGTGAAATGCTTGGATGAGGCTCGTTCACCTACTCCTTGGTGGGAAGTAATGGCCACTGCAGCTGATCAGTTTTGAAGAAACAACTGGAGGCCAAATATGGTGAGTTTGCGTTGTCATTTTGTTGACTTTGTTAGCGAGGAAATTTAAGTTGGATTATTTTAGTTGTGTTTATTCAAGCCTGAAAACTTAAGTTTTGATGTTACTTTAACTTTATGGTCAACTAATACATGTATTTTCTATTTATCTTTAAGGTTATCGAACTTAGTCTTGTTCATTTGTTCTGTTTATGTCGAGAACCAAACTGAAAAAGAAAACACTTAAACAAAATAAAACAAAGAATAAGGCACTTTGAGAACAGTCAGAGTTGTGGTAACTATCTAAGCTCTATCAAAGTGTTTTACTTTTTTTCCAAAACCCTGAAGGGACTTTAAAATAAGTCCTTAGATTAGTTTATTGAAATTTCCACACAGATCTGAACAATTTGACACAATCTATGGAAGGTGAGATGTTTTTAGTTGTTGTAAGTCAGAAATGATTTAAAGTTTAGTCAAGGAAATGAGGACAAAACCTAGACTTACAGCACTGCTCATCATTAGTACTCTTCATATATTGGCAGTAGAATCTATAAAGGATGTAGAAATATGTTTCATCTTTAATCTGTCATGAATTAACACGAAGCATCAGATTTTTAAAACGACTAATTTAATCTTTGATGTAGGGAAGTGAAAGTGGAGGGATGATGTTGCTGGAGGGAAGGTGAGATAAAGGGGCAGACACGGATGCACTGATATTTTCCCTTCATTTACTGTGGTCCACAGAGTCCACTGGTCCCTCTGCCCAAAGATGCTGCTTCATGTGCATTGATTTCAGAATATGGACGGGCTGTGAAAGGATGCCTGTCTGCGGTAACTTCAGGTAACACAGTCTGGGAACATTATTTTAGCCTAAAGGAAGGTTCACTGTCACCCCATGAACCGTTGTCTTTTCACACTGCAGCAGTAAATGTGTTTTAACAAATATCATTGGTCAGAGGAAGACTTGTTAGCTGTGTTGACATTAATGAAACTAGATGTGACATACACCATATGTTATGTATGGACCTGATAAAAAAGACAACCTGATTTAAGATAAGGTGATAGGTCAGTAGGTCAAGTTGAAAAAAGTCATAATGAACAAAGCTTTTTCTCTACATCTGCTCCGTTTAAGTCTGAACACATTTGTGATGTTTCCATCAAAGAATGTTCCTTTTGTTTAAAGAAAGTAAGATAGAACTAGAAAAAAAAATCTTATAAAATAATAATAAAAAAGAATTAATTATTAAAAAAAAGAAATGGAGTTTGGTAAAGAATTTCATGTTTGCTCTGAGTGTGTGTGTAAAACCTGATTAAATTAAATGTCTGTGAGCAGCACTCATATTTTCATGCCTGGCTTTTCAGCAACCGCACATGTTGTAAATCACATGTTCCCTGTTGACTGTGATTTCAAATGTGATTTTCAAAGGTCAAAGTCTCACAAGGAAGGTACACACTTGAGTCAAATGGAATCAAGATTGTTCTATTTAAAGGAAACTGTAAAAAAAGAGATTTATAAATCAAAAAAGCCTAATAAATACAAATAATAATATATAATATATGTAGCTAATAATATTAATATAAAGACAATAATATAGAGACTAATGAATAAACATTACGCATTTATTCTGTACTTTAGACAATCTTCACCAATGATAAAACCTTAATATAATATGCAGCATACTGCAGTTTTCTTACTTTCTAGTCAAAAATTCCAATAAAAAAAAAACTCAAAAATTTTCTCCAGTTTCCATCATTGTACACTACCAGAAATGATGTTGATACTTTTTGTGCCCATTTCCATTCAGATCAGCTCCACGCACCGTGAATATGTTCGATTAATTGATAGATTTGTTTATGAGTGTGTATGTGTGTGTGATGTGACCTGTCAGGTGTGACCCTGCAGTGTCCACTCCGATACAGGTGGAGACACAGATGGACACGGTAGTGTGGTTTCTACCAATGAGACAAGATGGGGTGTGGACGGAAGACAACCAGACACAGATGATCAAGACTGACTTCTGTCCATATGTGTTTTGTGGGTGTATGTGTGTTTTTGGTAAAGCTATACTTGTGGGGACACTTTGTCCTTGTGGGGACATTCTGCACGTCCCCACTGAGTTAGAGTTCGGGTTAGCATTAGGGTTAGCATTAGGGACTTTATTGTATTATGGTGAATGCATTATGTCTGTGTGAAGTACTGGGTATGTTGCATAGGGAGGAAACTATAAATACACATGCGAAATGCTGTATTCCACTGGGTTTGTCTGTGATGCCAGTAACATCTGTGTCTATTTTAGCATCATCTGATAATGTGTTGTCTGCACATGAGGTTAATGCTGGGCCACTCTGTGGGGCAACTGAAAATAAACATAGCGTTAGGAGTCCTGGAAAAATTACATTAAATAGATAAAATGCTAATGATACAACTGAGAATACAATTTATTTTGAGCTAAAACTATTGTTGAAAAATATTTTTTTGACCCACACTGTGGTTTAAATGAGGCTCAGCAGTTTTGAGGTTCCAAACCTTCAAAATAATAACATCGGTCCAGAACGACCATATGTATGTACTTACATACTTACTGTATGTAAGTATTCAGGAGTACGTTCCAGTAAGTGACTGTAGATCAGTTGTCTTTATGTCCATTAGTGGAACTGGACTCCTGCATTCATCGATGTTCCCTCTGTACTTTACCCTCCTCCTCCTACATCACAGTCCTCCTACATTGTCTCAACTACACAGATAAAACACTCTCTTCTGGGTTTAGTTTTTTCTACTTGACGTCTGCGTATATTACAGTATTTAAACAAAGTATCTGCAGCACATACTGTATGATGACTTTAAAGATAATGAACATCATCCCTTGAGTTTTTTTCATGTCACAAATAAGGCTGGAGCTATAGACCCAATAGTAAAAGTATTTTTTTTTCTCTGAATTGTTATATATGACAGTGATCATCAAATGGTGGCCCAAGGGCCAGATTTTGTCCACCAAACAGATTTCGTTCAATCCAACCGGCGACTAGATTCCAAAATTTTGAGGATCAAAGAGAACATTTTCTGAAGTTCTCACTATTAATGTTACTAGAAAAAAGAACTGAGAATGAATTAATAACTGTCAGTAACCTCCACCATTTATGACTCTGTTTGACAAAGGTTTGATGTTTATTTCAGTGTCCGGTCCTTGAGGTGTCTGTCTAAAATTATTCTAGCCCACTTGTATAAAGGATAAAAAAATACTCAATACTTCACATACTTGTCCTCAAAACATGTATACGCATCCAGCCATTTAATACAACTGCATAGTATCACACCAGTTAGGAAGTGTTTTGTGTCTCATTGTCCTCATGGTGCAGTAGTTTATTTAATTAGGTCAACAATGTCAGTAGTCTTTACTACAGTAGGATTTACTGTAGGATTTGTTTTGTTACTGCTGAAGAGGAGCCAAGTCGTTAATGCCTTGGTTTGATGACAGAAGAAACATGAAGGGTTCTCACTTTACCAAGTCACTGCAGCATTTTCTATTTTTATTTGAAAATATTTGAACTGAATATATTTTAGTTAATAGTTGTTGTGGCATATTCATTTACCGTATTTCTCGGACCATAAGGCGCAACTACCATGAACGGGAATATTTTCATACATAAGGCGCACCAGCTGACTGTTAAGCGAAACAAAACAGTCAGCATAACAATTAAGCGGAACAATCAAGCATGTCCAGATCCCTCTCGTCAATATCCGAGTCAGTCTCGTTGCTGTTAATTAGTTGTTCAGTGATGATTCTGGCCTTTGTAAAAGCTCGAGCGAGATTTGAGACTAATACCTTAGACCAGGCATCCACGATCCATTGGCAGATAGTGGCGTAACTCGCCCGGCGTCGCCTCCCTGTCTTGGTGAATGTGTGTTCGCCTTCTGTCATCCAATGCTTCCACGCAGCTCGCAATTTAACTTTAAACGCCCTGTTAACACCAATATTCTTTGGTTAATCCACCCGGAATGATTTCTAGCCCCGAATTAGTTTGGTTCACTTGGTTTTTGACAATATCGGTGAGATGGGCGCGCATGGAGTCGCAGATCAATAGGGACGGAGATTTGTGGAAAAGGAGAGTGAGCTAAGTTGGACACTGGAGGACGCTGTTGTTGTTGTTCGCCCCTCCAGAGTCAGGCGGTTGTCACTATTTGTTCTGGATGGTCACCGTATTGTTGTTTTGACCCTGTTCCGTGCAGAACTGCGGATGTTGTTTTGCATAAAGAGTTTGTGTTTTTCCTGTATCGATAAAAAAAGGAGAAATAAAAAGAGTCTCCTGTTGTTGGGAGGCACGACGAGGCGTTGCACGGATTTGGGTTACACAACCATACTGTAATAATTGTTGTTGAGCATCTTCTAATGGTGATAACAGAGTTAAACGTCATTGTTGGCTCCCAGTGTGCTTCAGTTCTGTGCCATCATGTGTGATGCACTGTGGTTTGGCTTTATAAATTTGGTTAGAGCTCATAAGACTAGAAGTAATACATAAGGCGCACTGGGTTATAAGGCGCACTATTGATTTTTGAGAATATTGCAGGTTTTATAGTTAAAATACGGTACTTTATGAACGGGAAACAAAAGAAAAATATTCTGAGCTTCATTTTCCTGCAGCATCTCTGATCTATTGAGATCAAATGATGGCGACCACTTCGACTACAATCACACTTAGGGTTAGGGTCACAGTTAGGGTTAGGGTCAAGTGAAGTGATGGAGGGAGAGGAGTCTTGATGGAACAGGCTGGAATAATGACGGCAGGTGGAATCCATTACTGTCAGTATTTGGTGTTGCATCAAACCTAATAAAATTGTAATAAAGTCAGTAAGGAGAGTGAGGGAGAAAAAGAAAAGAAGGACAACTTCTTGAAATGTGTGTTCATCGACAATGTTGTGAAAATGTTTTTACATAATGTAACTGTTGACCTAATTTATTCAAACCCTCTCCAGGAGAAGGAAGCTGACATGTTTTTGACTTTTGATGCATATGGGGAAAAAAAAGAAGAGAATGAACAAAAATCCTGGTGTCATATAATATTTCAAAGATGCCAGCTCCCCTTTTCATATTCTCATCAAAGAGATTAATTGATTACATACTGTAGCTGTGGCTCATTAGTGATCTGCTTAATGAAGCTTAATGAGCTCCGCAGAAGTAAAATGCAGCCAGGACCTTGTTGTAGTTTGTCATGGCTCAGGCTAATTGCTGCATCATATTGTTTGTCTGGTTTCTGTAGTGATGAACCACAGCACTGACTCACTCAGGTATGAGACAAGACGGTTCGTTGTTTAAGTCTCAACATTTTCACTGTTTCCACAGTATCTGTCTTTATTTTTGTCATTAGAATAAAAATTGCACATTTTTAGCTAAACTGATGTCAATGTCTTCAGTCTATGTGGAAAAAAAATCTTATTAAAAAATGTTATGTATTTTAACTCATGGGCAGACTGACAAGCAGTGTACATCCAATAATCCAGTGTTCATCATCTCATCGTTGCTCTAATACACAGTGGATACATACAATGAAGGGGGAAAACCACCCTCTCAACCCCCTGCATGCATTTGTGAAGGCTTCAACTTCAGCTCAATCTTAGATTTGCTACCAGTCCAGAGAACATGGCTAATAGTTACCCCCCAATGCTAATTCAATCAGAGAGAAGAGCGCCATCTAATGATGTTACAAATGTGTTGAATCTCTGCGACAGTGTGCGTATAAAACAGAAGCTTTTGTCAAATTCTTAAACACTTCTACCAGCATCACCTAAACATAATCTGAGGTTAGTAAACACCACTGTATTAAACATGGGCTGAATTTATAAATACCCACTAAAGTCATATGAAACAGTGACACTGTGGTAATTTCAGGTAAGGTTGGAATCTTATTGAGTTGCGGCATCTCATTAAATTCCCCGTCTAACATGTGGCAGTTACAAAATAATTAACTTAAAGCTGTGATTATCATTCATCTCTCAGTCATATTTGTAAATAAATCATTACATTTACATTCAAGTACAACTGCTGTACACCCCAGAGCTGCATTCACAACCTGTTAAATCCAATGTTAGGAAGTGAACAGTGGCAGGACTTCAGTGGTGAGAAAAAAAGATGATTTTTAATCTGTTATTGTTATTATGCCTTTCATTTTTAGTCTACAAAGGAAACAACAACAACAAAAAAACCCAGAAACAAAACACGTTTAATATGATGTGTCTGTGGAAGTGATGGCATAAGAATAAAATAAGTGAGTTTCTGAGTTGTTGCGACAGTGTGTAGAAAAGACAGATAAACAACACAAAACAAACAAACAATGAACCATTTTGTGATAAAAACAAAACAAAAAGAAAACAAATGTGGCTGTAAAACATCTCTGTTTTATTATATGCTTAGTGAGAAAAGTATTATTAACTTTTAAAACTGTATTTCAGTGATTTCACTTCATAATATTTGAATGTCTTGACAACCAGAAATTTAAACAGAAACAGTTGATTCTTTTCCCTGTTTTGCCTATAATGTAATTTCCTCTCTATAGTACCACAGGTCTGAGAACATGATCTGATACAGTTGTGAAAATTATGTACTTTTTAAACCACACTTCTTCCCTGACTCTAAACCCTCTGTATCTAATTATGTTTGAGACATTGATGTGATTTTGATCACAGCACACCTCAGACTCTGTGGTGAAGTTATTCATTGATTTAACACACTTACTGTCACCCAAAAGCATCATTTAACCTCCTTCTCACTTTGAGCGTCAGTGTTAGCGCTTGATTGATTCTCTGCCTTGTCAAATTAAACCTTCAGTGTCTAGCACTGTTGAAGCAGATAGTGAACACAGAACTCATGCTGATGTACACACAAGGCAAGAACAAGACGGATCATAACCTACGCACAGTCAGACACAGAGGCAGCAGCACTGGGTGAAGTATCCATCCATCCATCCATTTTCATCCACTTATCCGTTACCGGGTCACGGGGGCAGCAGTCGCCACCCAAATCACACTGCACCGCACCAACCCCCCTGAACCTTCCTGCGGGTGGTGAGTCCACTGGAAGGTACCAACCGCCCTAAGTGAGATTCGATCTTGCCTAGGAGGTGAACCCTGGGGTTCCACACCAATGACAGAGACATTGCCTCTGGACCAAAGCGCCACCCTAGGTGAAGTAGTGACAAATATTGTTACTGTAATACACAGTACACATTAAATCCATCATAGTCCTATGAATTGTATTCATCATGTGAAACGGAAGGTTCATAAGACAGTAGTGAGATCTGCTATGGTGATATACAGGGGGGTTTGGCACCTTAGAGATTAATAACAACTCATGCTCTTACTCTATGACCTGCTATATTTACTGTAGTTTGATTGTTCCTAAAATTGTAAGTCGCTTGAAGTTGATGTTGTGATGTACGGTTCACAGACCGAGACTGAACACATGCAGCTTATATACTATATATACTATACTATATATATAGTGACGACAGAGTCCCAGCCGATTAGTAAACTTCTTCTCAGTCATCCAGGTCATTTGATCCAAAAATAGTTACATGGAGATGATGTAGAGATGAGCCACACAGAACTTCTCTGCACTTGGGCAACACAGTTGATCTGTACTGATGTTGCAACCTCACACACTTCCTTAGAATTCTCTTTGCATGCATGCAGAGTAAGATCCTGTCAACCTGCATTACAAGTGACTGCAGATGCTGTTACTATATTTACATGATGAATGCATTATGTATACGTGTCTTTTCACTGTTGTGTGCAATGCCATGTCCAGAGCGCTCACATGCATTATAAACACATGGAATCTAAAGCCAAAGCTGCAGCATGATGTAAATAATGTGAGGTCAGAGCACATCAAATCAATTAGGTGGCTTTAAATACTGTGTAATTACTGCTGTAATTAGGGATGTCACTAATGACAGTTTGTAAGAGGAGAGAGGAGAAGGACATTTGTAGGAGAAGGACAAAGCTGTGTTCATGATTCATGGTTACCTGTCTACGACAATCTTCATCAGAAACCTTACAAAATTTGAACAAGTCAGACATTTTGAATGCTGGGAGTTGGACATTTTTGAAGGACCAATGCATTTCAGTTAGCTCTGTAACGCTGTGACGATGTTGGTGACAGTATAGTTTAGACCAATTCACCTAGTGCAGGGAATGACAACATCCAGGCAGGGGGCACTGTGATCCTTCACCTAAGCTAGTGCCAGATGTCGGCCTTCGTTAACCCACAGTCAGTCGTGCAGCGCAGAAGTGTAGAACTGTTGTCCAGTAGGGAAGA